CATGCTGGCCACATGACACAGAAGCTGTACGCTGGTTCCCTCGGCCAATAAAGCGAGATGAGCGGCGCAACCCCAGAGTCGTCCGTGACTGGACCTAATGGTCAGGGCTCCCTTTACCTTTACCTTTATGCAAGAGAGACAGGCCGGAGTGGTTGTGAAGATGCATTGACCTCTGGCGCTGTCTCTGATGATACAGACACAGACTCCCCACAAGTGTCCCTATTTTCCAGGGACAGTCCCGGATTTACAGAAGCCGTCCCAGTTTCTGATTTGATACTGGAATGTCCCGCTTTTCCTTAGGACATCCCTATTTTCATTGAATAAATGTTGGAGGGAATGGTAGGGTTTCCCTAGTTTCATCAGGGAAATATTGGAGGTTATGGAGTTATGCGACCCCTGAGTCAAGGATATAAATAACTATACAACCTTTAGAAGACATCTGAAGACAGCCTTGTATAGGCATGGTTTTTTAAATGTTTAATGTTTTATTATGTTTTTATATATATTGAAAGCTGCCCAGGATGACTGGGGCAACCTAGTCAGGTGGGCAGTCTATTATTATTATTATTATTATTATTATTGAATAGGACATCCCTATTTTCATCTGAGAAATGTTGGAGGGAATGCAAACATTTTGCATTTTGCAGGAGGGATTCATAATGATAGTCAATACAGCCAAGATAGAGTCCAAAAAGCAAGGAGCTGTGTTAATGTATTATGTAAGTTGAGCAGTAAAGTGCACAACAACCGGTCATTCTGCACATTCCCCAGGCTGCATGGAGAATGTGCACACAATCCTTAATTGAAGAGGGACTTGTCGACATTTCCTGGTGAATACAAATAATCTCCAGCAGGTCTTGGGAAATGTTCATATACCAACTGAATATTTTGTCCATACACTTTCCTTACAGATGTGGCATGGCTCACTTGTTTATTATATTGAAATACCCTCTTGATGTGATACAAGAAGCCCATCCCTGCAGTGACTCTTGGAGATTGCACATGTGGATTAATGTGGAGATCCAATGGACAGTGGGCCATGGTTTTGGATGGAGGCGGGGGGTTGCTTAATACTTTTCTAATCCGTTCTGCTTTATGTTTCCACAATTCTATTCCCAGTAAGAATGAACTCCCAGTTACCCAAATAGGACAATTTGATGAAAGTTTTGTCTTTGCTACCACCTAGTGGCCATATGGAACCAGTGCAGAAAGGTTATCCTTTCAAAAAAAAGTAGGTTGGAACCCATTTCCTTCGTGGCTGATTTAGCGTGCCCGTTTAGGAATGGATCAAAATTTCCCCTCATCTGAATTTCTCTCCAGATTCTGGAGTTCTCAACACTTGGTCTTGCTTCTGAAGTGGAACGGATGCATCAAGTGTCATCAATTGGTTCTGTGCATGTTTTTAGAATCTCATAAATATGTACATCATTTTGTGTGGCTATCGGTTAATCCTGCCCCAGCCAATGCCCAGATAGGGACATATCAGTGCAATTCAGTTCGGGATCTGGGCCTCAGCCTTATTTGGTGCATAGCCCTCATATTAGCAGAAAGGCACATTAAAATGCTGGTGGATTTTTGTGAGAACTTTTTTTTTTTTTAATGGCAAACTAATGCAAAAATGTGGCAAGCAAAACTTAAGAGTAGAAACTGAAAATGGCAGTTTTCATCCACACCTATTCCCAGCTGGCACCCCTGTGTTTGTGACAGGCATTTAGCATGAATACCTAGTGAATGGGAGGTGGGGAACAAACCATGACCATTCTGATTTTGTTTTTTGCATGTATCTAAAATCAGTTTCTTTACAGAGTACAGCAAGCCAGACATTGCATAGATCCATTTTTTCTTAAAAAAAGAAAAACATGTTTCCCAATGGAAACATCAGCATAGGTGACAAAGCACAATCACAACCAGTAAGTCAAACCTTCGTTACAGTACATTGAAAGAAAGGTGTCCATCTTAAAACAGTAGGACAAAAGCAGGTTGTGGCTACGTAATATGGTAGTTCTTCTCTTCGAGCCCTGGGAAAAGGGATCGGGATCAGACTCAGAAGTGCCAAGTCTGAAAAGACTTTGGTGGAAAGCGGGTGAAAAACAACAACTCTCAAGTTTAAGCATTTGAGTTTTGAGACGGCGGCATTGTGTGGGATCCTCTGACAGGGCCGGGCAGATAATCTTTCCCCTTCTCTCACCCTTCTTCCATTGCAAAGTAAGTAACATGAAGCTATCAGGGCTGTATGTACAATATAAACAAAGGGCTTAACACTTGGGGAGAGAAGACAAAGACAGCTGCGATCGGGGAGGAAAAAGTCATGGGAGGAGAATTTCATTCATCGCATATTGGGAGGCAGAAACGTTGCAAGTCAGATTATTAGCCTGCTATAGGGAAGATATTTTTGGATCCAAAATTGTCCAGAGAGAAGTCTGTATAAATTCTAAACATATGAGCCCTGCAGTTTCAGGCTAGGGTCTCATCCTGTCCATCGTCCTGTTCTCACAGTGGCCAACCAGATGCTTACAGGAGACCTGTCCTCAACACAACATCGCTCTCACCTCCCGTGGTTTCTGACTGCTATTCAGAGGCATAGCGCCTCTGACAGTGGAGAGAGCATCAGTATCAGTAAATATGGACTACCTATTCTTCCATGAATTTGTCTACTCCTCTTTTAAAGCCATCCAGGTGGTGATCATCCCTGCCTCCCGCGAGAAAGCGACTTCCGAGCTGGAGAGGAGGTGGGGTTGTGGGCTTCACGCCCTCCCCGCGAGACTGGGGGAATCCTCGGCCGTGTCATCTCCCTTGCCAGCCAATCGGCTGGCCCGGGAGGCGTGGCCCGCGCTATTTCCTCTTTCGTCGCTCCAGCTGCTCCGGTTTCCCACCCTTCCCACCCTTTAGGTTTGGCTCTCTGACCTTGCTATGGACTTCGGTTGGTCACCGTCAAGGGGCCTGGTAGGAATTTTTTCCACTTGGCAAATTGGCACCAGACATATGGTTTTTCGCCTACCTCGTAGCAAACCGTCACAACTTTCTCGGCATTGGCGGTTAGGCATTGGTAGGGGTATTGTTATGTAGATGAGGGGGGAGAAGCGCCATCACCTTCCACCAAATCGAAGGGTAGTCTGGTAAAGGATTCTGGGGGGCGTGGCCCTGTCCGAAGCCTATGGAGGTGAGGGCCTAAGGCACGCCCCCAAGCGGTGACCCCGGGGGAGCTCCTAGTTGACGTGCATCAGCAGGACTCCCCCTACTGGCGGTTAACCCTTCCCGGTCTTCAAGCAATCAGGCTGAAGCCGGATAGTCGATAGGACCAATGCCTGAGCCAATACCGCTCAGTTCCTGTAACCAATAAAGCTGTGGCCAATTTTCGCCCATTAACCTAAAATGCTGGTGTCCTGTGTCTTTATTTCCGAGGGGGAGGCGGGAACTTGCCACGCAACGAATTCCGTACCTTCTCTGTGTGTTGTGCGAAGAAGGATTTCCTGCTGTTTTAAAAACCCGGAAAAATATGGTTTTGTACATCATCAGGAGATCTGAGCTGGGGGATTTTAGTCGATTGATACAATCAACAGAGTTGTGTGATATTGTCTACTCTGGCTGGCAGCTGTTCTCCAGGGTCTCAAGCTGGAGGGCTTTTCCCATCACCTGACACCTGATTCTTTGACCTGGAAATGGTGTCCAGGATAGACTCCAGGTCTTCCCTCACATCCTACCAGCAACCGCTGACCGCCCCCCCCCCCAAGATGAAATCCCAAAGCATCTTCGTTTGCTTCCCCGCATATGCAAAAGTAGCAGGTCAAAGGGAAAGGGCTCAGTCTAGCCTTCTCCTTGCCATGCCATGCCATATTATTATTATTTCCTTAATTGAGGAGTATTTCAATATACGACCACCACCCCAGCAGTCAGAAGAAATGCAAGTCTCGACAAGTTGTACTCCAAGATTTGGCAGATTGTGTAAATTAATTGATCCCAATTAAAGCAAACTCAAGCAATCACCAACAAGGGAATACCCCACTCTTTTGGCAGTTTGGGGGCGAGCTAGAAGAATGGAGCATGCCTTCATTTTCTCCCCCTGTTTTGAATCCCCATTGAAACTGTGCTTGGCGCAATTTCCCCTCATTTTGAAATTGACCGTGGCCTTTGGCACCGTGAAATACAAGTCTCGTCATGCTCCCTTACTAAATATTGTGAGGAAGGGAGAAAGAAGAAGTTCCTTTACACTCATCAGAAAATGGAACTCCTCACCATGAACTGATCTCTCTCATACACTCATGAGATCTCATGGGTGCTTACTTCACACATGCTGAAGAGCTGAAGTCAGCTCCTAGTTGGAAGGGGCTCTCTGAAAAATGTCTTTTGACTGGCCCTGTCCTCTGTCAGTGGGGCTTTTTCCTATTCGGAATAAGGGAATTTCCCTTAAAAAAAAGGGAAATGTTGACAGCTATGCAGTGGGGTCTCTTGGTGGGCTTACTTAGCAGTGACAGTGGTCAACAGTAGTCCTTTGACGAGCACTAAGTAGTATCTTGGAGATACCATTTTAATGTTTCACGATGTCTCGAGGCATTATGGGAAATTAAAATGGTGCCTCCAAGACCCAGTGGCCTGGTGTTGATGGAAAGTTGGGGGCAGGGTTAAAGGGGAGGGGAAAGGGCAGCAGGAATTTAAAGGGGTCTCAGTAGCTGCATTACAAAGCAGCAGTCTCAACTAAATCATATAAGACAGGGATGTCCAGCTTCCAAGAGACTGCGATCTAGTTCCACTATAAAAAACTGGCAGTGATCTACCCAAAGCTGTTGAGCTTCTTTTTTGGGGGAGGGGTCAGGATCACGCGGTTGACCAGGATTGACCAGGGATGCTCCACGATCGACCGGTAGATTGCGATCGGCCTGTTGGGCATCACTGATATAAGACAACCACCCAACCTCTGCTTAAAAACCTCCAAGGAAGGAGATTCTACTACCTCTTGTGTGAATCTGTTCCACTGTTGAGCAGCTCTTACTGTCATAAAGCTCTTCCTGATCTTTAGTTGAAATCTCCTTGCTTGCAACTTGAAGCCATTGGTCCCACCCTCCAGAGCAAGGAAGAACAAGCTTGCTCCCTCCTCCTTGAGATATTTGAAGATGGCTATCATATCTCCTCTCAGTCTCCTCTCCTCTTTTTCCAGGATAAACATACCCAGTTCCCTCAACTGTTCCTCATAAGGCTTGCTTTCCAGACAGCTTAAATCCCAGAGGAGGGAAAAGGCATAAATGAATATGAGGAAAGATTTTGTCTCGGTGCTTCTTCTCACACCAGAAACAGCTGTACACGCAGTCCAGGCCTGAAAAAGAATTGATTCTGGTGCCACACACCCACATCGGGGAGTGAACTCACAGGGGTACAGAAACAGTAAAATGGTTTCTGGCGGGAATGGGGTGCCAACTCCAACCACCCATGCTGTGCACACATTTAAAGCACATTGCTTCCCCCAAAGAATCATGGGAACTGTAGTTTGCCACTCTCAGAACTATAACTCCCAGCACCCTTAAAAAAAACTATTGCTCCCAGGATGCTTTGGGGAAAGTCATGTGCTTTAAATGTATGGTGCATTTTTGGCATCAGTAGACAGCAAGTATAAGGCCTTCCTTTTAAGATAGAGCAAGTCCAGAGAGCTTCCTTCCCATGGGGCACTTCCTGGGGAGGGTTACAGTGCCTGGGAAGCCACTTGGAGCACCAAGAGCAAAATATACATGACAGACAAAACAGCTGCAAGAGAGAAGCCTAGACAGGAGCTGTGTTGTTAAGCGGATTGTTCACAGTAAAAAAATAAAATTAAAAAGGCCGATCCACCACAATTGCATGTTCCTCACTTAGTGACTCATAGCTAAATATATGAATGGTTTCCGTTAGAAATGATGCTTCAAGGTGTGGCGATATGGAAATTCTGCCTGTCGTATTTGATCTATAGAGGCCAATACATATCTGTGAGTCACCGCAATGTTGCACCCTCCGAGTAATGAGCAGAAAACCCCCAAAAAAGGAAGAGGACCAAGAACGTTACCACAGAACTTCCTGTCTGAGGAGCAGTGACAAACCAGCCAAATTACATTTACACCAGAGAAGAGCTTGTACCAGCATCCACACACGGCCCATGGGGTGAACTCTGCTTGCCTCTTTAAGTGCTTTATACAGGAATGGTCTGAAGCTATGTTTAGCCCTTCTTGACATAAATTAACACTGTGAGGTTGGTTGACGCCACAAAACATTGTGGCATGCTGAGGTTACGCTTAAAGTTGGTCTCTGAATGCAGGGCTGGGACACTTTGTAAAGTGAATGTTGCCCACTCGAGCCAGGCAGAACACATTCCAGTGCCTCACAGGTGCTGTCATCTTGGTTTAGAAAAATAAATAAATTTCAAAATGGCGGCGCTCCATTCCAAAATGGCAGCAGCCACGTGTGAGAGACATCTGAAACCGGCTGTGGCCTTTCCATAAATCCTTGCACCTCCATCTTCTACACTGGGGAAAAGGGTCCCAAACCCTGGTGATAGGCTTTAAGGTGGCAAGGCCAGTGCACAAGTTTTGCAGTGTGCTTTTGCTGTTCAGAAAATACTAAATTATATACCATTAAATTATTCTTCCCCGGAGGAGGGGGAAATGAAGAAAAATAATACCAATCATTTAACAGGAAAAGACGAATACATATTCTTTAGACACAGTATCTTGGAAATGGTGTGAAAGTCACTTGTCGTATCCTCCGTGCTATACGTCGTCTTGAGATTGATGTGGGTATTTGTTCTCTTGGACATCGCAGTTGCCATTTTCAGAGGCGTCAGAGCTTCCCGGAACAGATTCAGGGGGAGGTGGTTTGTAGAGCGCGCAAGCAAGCAGGAAGAAGAAGGATCCAATCACCTAAAAGACACCAAGGCTTTCAACTTATGTACTCTTTCCATAAGTCCTGATCTTCTCAGCAGACGGCAAAAATAAAGACCACTTTTGTCCCTTCTGATGGGCCATCCAAGGTGTTCCCCAGCCTTGTGTCTTTCTGTTTTGGGAAAAAACTCCCATCACCCCTGATCCCAGGAGTATCAGAAGTTGCCAAGCACTGAGTTAGACCACTGGTCCATCTTTCTCATCATTATCTACAGAGATTGGTGTTGGCTCTCCAGGGTTTCAGGCAGAGGACATTGCCAGTCCTACCTGGAGATACCAGAGATGGGACCTTCTCCATGCAAAGCAGGAGCTTTATCTCCGAGCTATGGCCCTTCCCTATAGCTCTGGACAAGCTGGGTGGGGTTGGTGCAACTTGGGGTCCATAAACACCTAGCACTCCTGGCTCCCTCCCTCCCAGTGCTAGAACATTGAAGTTTGTGCCAGTCTTCATAATGATCACCACTTCTAGAGGAAGGAAACCTCTGAGTACACAGACTAGAAGCAAAGCCAGGGGAACACCTATGGCAGTGGTGGCACACCTATGGCACACGTGCCAGAGTGGGCACTTAGAGCTCACTTAAACCTGTTGCTTGCTCAGCCTCCAACCCGTCTGCACCCTCTTCCTCCTCTGGCCTGTCTCCTGAACCCCACCACCATTCTCCTGGCTTCCCACTTGGATGCTTCCCTGGGAGCATTCCCCGGCTGTAGCCCCCCACCAATTCCTCCCTGTCTAGTCAGTCCCTGACACACCTGGGCTGTACCACTTCAGACTGCAAGCGAGTGCGATCCCATTTAGTTTTGCATGCGGAGCTAAGCTTCTAAATGAAGAACCATTTGGTCGTATGAACAGCAAGCGAAACCTGAATTAGTACAACCCAGCCACACGTGTGTGAGGATTCAGCCCTAGTTTTGGCACGCAGCAGAGGTTCCGCCATGAACAGCAGAATCTGACTTATACCAAGTCAGACCACTGGTCCACGTAGCTCAATATTGTCTACACTGACTGCCAGCAGCTCACCAGGTTTTCAGACTGGAGACTCTCCCAGCCCTACCCGGAGATGCCGGGAATAAACTTGCAAAGCCAAGTGACCAGTCCTCATGGTGCCCCATGCTGACAGATGCAGGATGGAACAGAGGGCTGGAAAAGTTCTCTGTTGAGGTTCACTAAATGGTGGAGACGAAAATAATTTAGGACTACCTTGTATATAACACCTGCGACCAGGGTATATCGACTCATAGCAAAGTTCTGGTAGACATAGCACGATCCTTGTTCACCGCACTGGTTCTGCCAAAGGAGACACGACCTGTCAATCATCGACCCAAAAGCAATTGGTCCTGGAATACCACCTATGCAAAGACAGAAATGAGAGAGACGCCTGCTGTTGGATAAATCTCACACTAGCCGTGCTCCACCCAAACCGATTCTAGCATATCTGGAAACGCTGGTATTGTGGACCTCCGCGGGAAGCCTTCTGTTGTGTTAGTTGGCATTAAATTTGGTCTGAAAATCCTGCTTCGGTGATTAGATGGAAATAATCACTGGAGAAGACTTGGGAAAACAATACCTGCTTAGGTCATTTTATGATATCTTTTAAAAGGCCAGCTACAAGAGCAGTGTTTTATATATACACAAGGACACACCCTTGAATAATAGCATGAATGTGTGTTTCTTGGGTGAATAAAAGTTCCCAGTCTGTTGGCACAGCACAAGGATCTCTGCTCCACACTGTAATTCCTCAGAATGCAACAGTGCTCTCTAGAAATACAGGGCCGGACCCAATGCTAGCCATACTCAGAGCAGAACCATTGAAATTAATGGACATGACTAACATGGGTCCAATCTTTTCAATAGTTGTACTCTGACACGGGTGGCGCTGTGGGTTAAACCACAGAGCCTAGGACTTGCCGATCAGAAAGTCGGTGGTTTGAATCCCCGTGACGGGGTGAGCTCCCGTTGCTCGGTCCCTGCTCCTGCCAACCTAGCAGTTCGAAAGCACGTCAAAGTGCGAGTAGATAAATAGGTACCGCTCCGGTGGGAAGGTAAACGGCATTTCCGTGCACTGCTCTGGTTCGCCAAAAGCGGCTTAGTCATGCTGGCCACATGACCCGGAAGCTGTACGCCGGCTCCCTTGGCCAGTAAAGCGAGATGAGCACCGCAACCCCAGAGTCGGTCATGACTGGACCTTTACCTTTACTCTGAGCAGAACACAATGGACACAGAAGGAGCCAGACTCTAGGCCCAGCTAGTCCAATTTATGGAGATCTCTATGCTGTAGTCTTTTCAGAAAGGGGAGGTAGCCCAATGCTAAGCATTGGGTCATAGGAACATCACTGCCACAACAAAAGTAAAAAGAGGAGAGTGTCATCATGCTTGGATTAAATGTGTGCAGGTCCAAGACATGCTTGGACTAAATGTGTGCAGGTCTGCAGATGCTGACCATTTCTGTTCAAATACACACCATCCTACCTTCTCAGCTAACTTGTTTTTGTGGTGGTGGTTGTTTTTAAGAAGGAGGCAGTTGTATATTAAAGGTCAATGTGCCAACTGGTCCAGCATTTGTGGGCTGTTGTTGTATTTTGCTTCTACAGACATATAGAATGTCTTCATAGCCTACATGATTTTATCCTGAGCAAGAGTTATGTCAATAAACATCATATGCAAGGGGTAGATTATTAGATCTTAGCTGTATAGTGTACCAAGTGTCCGGACTACAATCCATTGGATCCCCAGAGCAAACGATCGCTGCCTGTCTGAGACGCACCTAGGAAGCATAAGACAAAACATTTATAAATGACGGCGAGCAGGAACAACCCTTGAGCAGCGCAGCAGCTCTGTTTCCCATAATACCACCAAATTGTGGGCTTCAATAGTTAAGGGCACAGTGATCTGGTTCATGTTAAATATTAAAATGCCTCTGATATATAATTTTGTAAAAAGATCCTGATGGCTCCAAGTCATGGCAGTTGTTTCTGCCTACCAGAAAAAAAGAGACACAGATATTCGGTCCAACACATGTTCCAAAATCCTGGAAGCTATGTGATTCTCATTATACAGAACTCAAGCATGCCCATCTGGCTGCTAAGTGTCTCTGACTTGGTTGCATATATATGTGCAGCCAATATTAAACCAGACTGTTAAGTCAGGGGTGTGGCCCTCCAATTGTTGTTGAAGCCTGAACCACAGTAGCTGCAGGCAGCGTGGTCATGTCAGTTTGCATTTCTTATTACAGAAGAGGGCCGTCTTTACCTGGGGGTGCAAGGGGTGCAGGGCACATGGGTGCCAAATTCTGGGGGACGCCAAATGTATACCGGCTCCCTCTCAATTGGCGGCAGTGAAAAGCAATGGAGCGAAAGTCTCCCCCCTCCACAGCATCAAATATTTTTCCCCTGCTGCGTCGTCGTTACAGGTGAGTGATTCCCCCCCCCCAAAAAAGCTCAACAACTTCCTCCCTCTCCCAAAAAAGCTTTAAAAAGTTAATTTGGGGGCAGCTAAACTAAATTTGGGGGCGCTGGGCAGATCTTTGCACCCCGGCGGCACATACGCTAAAGACAGCCCTGTTACAGAAAGTATTGATCTGATGTGTAGAGATCTTTCCTATTCTACTTAATTCAAGAGGGTTCTAGAAGCTTCTCTGTGTGAAAGATGCAAGCAGAAGGTTCATGATGTTTGGGTTATTCTTTCAGAGAAGCTGAGTACAGCTGCCTTAAACTGGTTCTGTTATCTTTTTTCAGTCAAGGTCATGCTGGCTATAAAAATAGGCTGGAAGGAGCCCGGGTTTCACTCACTTTCTCTTCCTATCTCTTTTCTCTCTGGTGTGGTCTTCTGTATGCTTAGACTTATTATAAGTTATTGTAAGTTTAAGTTAAGTCTGCTGCAACTGGATTTCTTATGGACAGTGGCAATCCTGAATGTATTGGATTTTTGACCATTATGTTCATTTGCCTTCAGTAGCAGAAAAGCTCTGCTACTTTTTGGGGAATCCTACAACGTGTTTAAGTTTTTGCTCTGCTAACTGTACATTGGAATCTGCTGTGGATCAACATGGAGTAGAATTTTGCGGCTTACCGTAAAGTGGCCGTCAGAGCAGGAATGCTGCTCAGGAATGTGAAGAGGATGACCACAAACATGAAAAGCAGGAGGAGGGTCCTTCTCTCACACGAGGAGGTACACTTTCCTGCGGTCGCCAAGCCAGATGCAACGGGAGCATCAAGTATACAGCTGCACTCGTGGTAAACCTTGTCAAGCATACAACAAGAGAAGGTCCCATTTAGAAGAAATCCACACGCTCTGCCAAAACATGCTACTTGCCCACATGCTGGGAAGCAAAGATGCTTTTCATTTGCATATTGAGGTGGCACCACAACTTGGTGTTTTGCATGCAAAATGTCTCAGGTTCAATCTTGGACATCTCTAGATGGGACTTGAGAAGACCTCTGTCTGAAACCCCAGAGAGTCACTTCCAAACAGCACTGAGCAGCTTCCGACAACCTGGTGAGCTCCAGATGTTTTGGACTACAACTTTCATCAGACTAGTCCAAAAACATCTGGTGGTTACCAGGATGTCGGAAGCTATTATAGACAATGCTGAGATAGAGCAACCAATGAGGCACACACCTCATACATACCAGGATGCATTCTACACTTTGTGTTAATACAATTGAATAAAAATTACATGCGTGCACACACACACACACACACACATCTGAAGGGGAAATTGTTTTAGAACCCCCCTCCCTCCCAGTTAATTTTAGCTCTGTCCACAGCTTGACTAAACTGTGATGAAGCAGGCTTCATGGCATCTACAGGTGTCAGGCGTCAGAGGATCCAACCATCATCGGTAGATTGCCAGGAATGGATAAGACAAGGAAAGTTCTTACCAATGCTTTTTATTCAATATTCACAGAGAGAGGCTTAGAAATGCAGCATATTGGAGTAATGGCGTTGCTCCAAGTGAAACCCCACCCCCTCCATCTATCCCACTTCCTCATGAGTCATCACTACAGGGGCTGGAGAGGGCCTTTTGCCTTTGAGTTCTTTGCTCTCCTACTTTCAAGGCCCGCTGTGTTCTGGGAGGGGGGGTCTGGAATGCTTTATAAAGACACTGAGTCCATCAGCTGTCTCTCCCCTGGTGCTTCTTCTTCTTCCTCCTTCTCTCCCATTATTTCCCAGCTTCCCCTCATCTGCCTTTGAGCTGTGACTTCCCTCAAACCCCTGTTATAATTCTGAATTATCTCCTTCTTCTCTGGAAGGGTCAGGCTGGGGAGGCTGTTAGAATATTCTGTTCCACCTTAAGAACAGACATGTGGAATTGTTGTATGTCACATGTCTGTTTACACTCCAGCACAGCTTGCTGGGAACTTCTGTTTTTGTATAGCTTTTGCTTATGCTGCCTTGCTTTGGACACGAAAGGGATCAGACATGTTTTCCTTTTGTCCTGATGTATGGGTGGCGCTGTGGGTCAAACCACAGAGCCTAGGACTTGCCGATCAGAAGGTCGGCGGTTCAAATCCCCATGATGGGGTGAGCTCCCGTTGCTCCGCCCCAGCTCCTGCCAACCTAGCAGTTCGAAAGCATGTCAAAGTGCAAGTAGATAAAAAGGGAAGGTAAATGGCATTTCCGTGTGCTGCTCTGGTTCACCAGAAGCGGCTTAGTCATGCTGGCCACATGACCCGGAAGCTGTATGACGGTTCCCTCAGCCAATAAAGCGAGATGCACCGCAACCCCAGAGTCGGCCACGACTGGACCTAATGGTCAGGGGTCCCTTTACCTTTACCTATGCTGAATAAACTGCTTGTAAATCTGCTCACACATACTCTCCTGGCACTTCTGTTTGTGTGTTGTCTCTGCTTTTGAAGCTGTGAGTTGCAGATGCTGCACCAAGGACTGGAGATTGCCCGGCACACTGGCCGGTGGGCTAGAGCCAGCTGGGGCCCTGCCAACTGCCCCCATTTCCTTGGTTGTATGCCACCATTCCTCCTCTGCCCAGACCCTGACAACAAGACAGAGCAGATCTTTTCCGTAGATCATACCTTTTTCCCGCTGTCGTGGCTGGTTGATACCTTCTTGCACCCTGCATGGCAGGGGGAGTAATACATGATACCATCATTTCCACACACAGGGCTGTACATCTCTCGCAGACAATCACACTCCACATTGCAAGAGGCGGACAGGTTGAGGCGGCCTTCGGGTAAGATGCTGGACAAAGCAGAGAAGTTGCCAACACACACAACATTTAGCCTCTCGAAGTGTCCACAGATGGGCCACATTCATAAGATACATTTAATGCATTATGACACCACTTTAAGGGACATGGGTGGCGCTGTGGGTTAAACCACAAAGCCTAGGACTTGACAATCAGAAGGCTGGCGGTTCGAATCCCCGCAACGAGGTGAGCTCCCATTGTTAAGTCCCTGCTCCTGCCCACCTAGCAGTTCAAAAGTACTTTCAAGTGCAAGTAGATAAATAGGTACCGCTCCGGCGGGAAGGTAAATGGCCTTTCCGTGTGCTGCTCTGGTTCCCCAGAAGCGGCTTAGTCATGCTGGCCACATGACCCGGAAGCTGTACGCCGGCTCCCTCGGCCAATAAAGCGAGATGAGCACTGCAACCCCAGAGTCGGCCACGACTGGACCAAACGGTCAGGGGTCCCTTTACTTTTACCTTACACCACTTTAGACAGCCATGGCTTCCCCCAAAGGATTATGGGAGCTGCAGTTTGTTAAGGGTGCTGAGAGTTGTTAGGAGGCCCCTCACAGAGCTACAATTTTCAGAGGGGTTTAACAATCAATCCCTCTTCCCAGGGGAAGTTTCCCATAGTTTTTCTCTCTACCCTTCCATTTTAACTAGGCTGCAAGTCCGAGGTTACTGGCCTGAGGTCACCCAGGGAGCTTCATGGCTGAGTGGGGATGTGAACCCTGGTCTCAATTTCATACATTGATAATCCTGAGTTCCCCCCTTTGCTGCATCCTCAGCATCAATAGCATCAGCAGAGTGACATGGCTTATCATGTCTCCTACCTTCTGTCATACATCTGTGTCACTCCAGCCATGGGCATGTTGGGGCAGTCGATGAAAAAGATGAAAATGGCCAGCAAGCTGGACATGGTGCAAAACAAACAGAACTTGATAATCCCCGAACAGCGCAGCTTAAATTTGTTCACGATGAAGCCTCCGAGGAATGTGCCTCCTCCTCCAGCTGGAACCACGAGGTAGCCTTCCAAAAGGAGAAGAAATCGGCAAGATCACATATGTGGTTAAGGTGCTTTCCTTTATCTTTTGCAATCATGCCCGTCTGAAAACACAGAGGAAGCTCTTGGCAGCACAGACTAAGAACCCCTTTGTGATAGGACAGATCTCCCACTGATCTCGAACACAGGCTGCAGCAACATTGGAAGGAATAATGAGTATCTGTTCAATGAAACAAATAGCCCCAGAAAGCTTGTGATGCAATTGGGTCCCTCCAGGCTGGTAGGGTATTTGTTTGTGGATGGGCAGACTCTGCAACTTGCATTTGATGCAATAATTGTGCATTAGTGGTGCATTTACATTGGGCCACCCCAAAACCATTTTGCTTTATTAGTTGCTCTGCTTCTTCAATATTATCACATTTTTTGCAAGCTGGAGGGGCACTCTTTGCTACAGCACTTGAAATGAATGTTTGGCAGAGGGGACCCAGATCAGCAGGGAGCAAACAGGACATGAGCCAATTGGGAATGAAGCAGCGTCTCCAACCTGAGACTTTACTGAAAGCAGGATTGCATAAAACCAACTTGATGCCAGCTGGAACATACATCATTAGGAATGCAAATGAAAAAGGCTCACCATGGCCAGTATCTGGATGGAACACCACCTAGGAACTACCATTTAAGGAGCTTGGAATACAAATTACACAGCCATTTACTGTGTGGGGTGCTATTTAGGAGTTGGCTACCTGGTGACTGTAACCACTAGGGGAGCTGGTTGTGCAGCCTGGCACCAGGCTAGAGCCAGCACCCTTTGGATTGGCCCTCTGCTATCCCAGACCCAGAGCTGGAGGTGAGAAGCTTCCATGCTTATACTGTACTCCTCGTTTCTGGAGAAATTCTGTTTACCCAGGCAGCCCTTCTGGAGCTGGCAGTGTTGTAGGGGCTTCTGGGTGGGGTGACCACTTCCACTTTACAGAAAAGAAAGATAAAATCCACCAACACCCCTATTCCAAAAAGGGGGGACAGAAGAGGATGCAGGTTGGCATACAATTTACGTAATAGAACCAATCGCTCCCCCCCCCCAATATTTTATTCAAGTTGGCACCCCTACCAGTTCAGACAACACACTAAGCCAAACCTTGCCTTAGGCCAACACCATGTTGAGTTGCAAAACTGGGACACACATCTTCCCATCTGTACTCACGTGACCTGGGCAAGATAACAGAACCCAGAAGACATGCTTTCTTTGGTGTGAGTTCTCAGTGCACAATTGTGCGAGATCACTGTTTTTCTGGGACATTTGTGGGGTATGCAACAAGGTGCAGCAGCAAAAAGGACTGGTTAGCAGCAAAGTGGCTGCCAGCCTCGGTTAAGGGACACTTCCATTCATGTGGGTCTAACTGTACCAACGTTTGGCTTGGCATGTTGTGCGAACCGGGCCGTACACGCCCAATCGCTTAAGAAGGTGTAAGCAACCTGCAATGGCCCCTAACAAATATTTCCTTACCGAACAAGGTTGCTGCTTCCGAGGCACTTAAGCTAAACTGGGATTCCAGAAACTTGGGGCCGAAGGTGGACATCCCAGCAATGAGTGTGGCTTCTGTTGCTCCAGCTAAGCAAAGGAAGATGAAGGTTGGGTTCTTCAGGAGCAGCAGCACTGACCTGCATTGAGCAGAGGAAAAACAGCATGTTGAAACAAGCTCAATCTCAATCATCTAAACTCCCATTCAAGTCCCATATTAATTGTAAATGCTTTAATTGGTAATTCTATGTGGTAGCCTGGTTTCTTCCAAGTTCTTGTATACTTTACATATATGTACAACATTTTTGTCCCATTTTTCTTTCAAGAAGCCCATAGTCCCCCTCTCATCTTCACAGTATCCTTGTGACGTAGGCTAGGCTGAAAGAGTGAGTTTCCATGGCCCAGCAGGGATCTGAAACTTGGTCCTCCCCAGTCATAGTCCAGCACTCCAAAACTTACACCATGCTGCACCTCTAGGTAAAGGTAAAGGGTCCCTGGACGGTTATGTCCAGTCAAAGGCAATTATGGGGTTGTGGTGCTCATCTTGCTTTCAGGCCAAGGGAGCTGGCGTTTGTCTGCAAACAGCTTTCTGAGTCATGTGGCCAGCATGACTAAACTGCTTCTGGTGCAATGGAACACTGTGATGGAAACCAGAGCACAAAGAAAGGCCATTTACCTCCCTGCTGCAGTGGTACCTATTTATCTACTTGCACTGGTGTGCTTTTGAATTGCTAGGTTAGCAGGAGCTGGGACAGAGCAACCGGAGCTCACCCCATTGTGGGGATTTGAACCACCAACCTTCTGATCGGCAAGCCCATGAGGCTCAGTGGTTTAGACCACAGCGCCACCCACGTCCCTTCTATCCCTGTTATCTTCCACCCGCTGGTTCATTTTGGCCCTCTGTGCAATATTTAACATTCTGCTAGGGAATCCCAGAGCCACTGACACAGATATGTGGAAATCCTGGTGCTACACCAGATGATTCCTTCTTACCCTCCAGCTGTTCAATAAGAAACACTTTGAGGGGATCCTCTGCAAGAAGTTCTGGTGCAAGAAGACCAAAGCAGAGGAGGAAGTGTCTCAGCAGAGAGGTTGACTTGTGTTCCTTGCAATATGCCAAAAGCCATCCATGCTTCTTGTAACTGCATGCATGCAATTTTGGAGATGCACTTGCATTTTGAAGTTTTGGAAAGCTGTATGGCAAGACTTGAAATTCGGCTATTCATTTATCTTATCCATTTATCCTTATGCAGGCGTCACTTGATTATTTTGAACTTTTGCACGGTCAGGGCAGATAAAAAGTTCGTGTTCCTTTTTTAACAACTTGATGTGAGAATGTATGTGGAGAAAATGGAAGCTGAAACTTAAGTGGATTTACTGAGAATTAAATAGATGTCTCTGTTTCCATGGAAATTGTTTCCTGCATGAACTTGTGATTAGCATAAAGGTATATGGTTGTGTTTGCAACTGCCCCCACCCACTCTGACAGCTGGAATGTGGCCCCAACATCTTTTAATCAAGGAAATATGGCCCTTTATTCCTCCCCAAAAAGGTTCCCCACCCCCAATTTAAAGAAAACTAGATGGGAAAACACAGAACACTGACATTAATACATGTGGAAATAAGAACCAAATAATTAAACAGTACCCAGGAACTGGACATATGAATAAGCCCTCTGCAGGACGGGTGTCGAAAGATATTTTAGCATATACGACATGTGGCAATTATTTCTGTATTTTTCTCCAGAAAGTGATTCCAGCTGTGAGCCTTTCTCTTGGGTACAGAAAAGGCCTTGGGGAACTAAGATGGTCCCAATTATCTATCCCTCTCTCGGATATGAAGAGCAACCAAATTCAACAGGATTTCTTCTGCACCAAGTTGAATCTCTTTGTTATACAACTTTATAAAGTCCTTTACCCCCTTTGCAATGGAAGTGACAGCACAGTTGCAGCCCAGGGAAGACTTGCAGTTGTTGGTACGTAGTAAACTGCACTGGGCTTCTGAACCAACTTGGAAAACGCCAGGCAGCTGCGTTCTTCCCCACAAGTGACGATCGGAGTGATTCATCACTCTTTCCCGATGCACTTCTGTGACATATATCCGAAGATATATGCACCTAATCTGATAGCAGAGTCCAAGCAAAAGCTAGGCATTTGAGGTGTGGAATCTAAGCTACTTTATTACAGTGGTACCTCTAGTTACGAACTTGATTTGTTCCAGAGGTTCGTTCTTAACCTGAAACTGTTCTTAACTAGAGAAGAAGAAGAAGAGTTTGGATTTGATATCCTGCTTTATCACTACCCGAAGGAGTCTCAAAGCGGCTAACAATCTCCTTTCCCTTCCTCCTCCACAACAAACACTCTGTGAGGTGAGTGGGGCTGAGAGACTTCAGAGAAGTGTGACTAGCCCAAGGTCACCCAGCAGCTGCATGTGGAGGAGCAGGGAATCGAACCCGGTTCATCAGATTACGAGTCCACCGCTCTTAACCACAACACCACACTGGCTTTCGCTAATGGGGCCTCTTGCTGACGCTGCACCACCGGCACACAATTTCCGTTCTCATCCTGGGGCAAAGTTCTCAACTCAAGGTAAGTCTTCCAGGTTAGTGGAGTTTGTAACCTGAAGCGTTTGTACCACGGGTACCACTGTATATACAAGTGTTACAGAACAAAGGAACATGGCTCCTCTTTCCTTCTTCTTCTCCAAGAGAGAAAACAGACTAAAAGCAATAGTACAACATAACGGAAGAGTATAACTGAACATCCATTCTCATGACTCCAACAGTATGGAATGTCAACACATACATGTGATGAAAACAATCACACATCCAGCAAGGGAGGAATGAAATCCCAACTGTAGTATCAGTAACCTGATCCATGGGTTGAGGTCTCCTGGCTTTTCATAGAATCATAGAATCATAGAGTTGGAAGAGACCACAAGGGCCATCGAGTCCAACCCCCTGCCAAGCAGGAAACACCATCAGAGCACTCCTGACATATGGTTGTCAAGCCTCAGCTTAAAGACCTCCAAAGAAGGAGACTCCACCACACTCCTTGGCAGCAAATTCCACTGTCGAACAGCTCTTACTGTCAGGAAGTTCTTCCTCATGTTTAGGTGGAATCTTCTTTCTTGTAGTTTGGATCCATTGCTCCATGTCCGCTTCTCTGGAGCAGCAGAAAACAACCTTTCTCCCTCCTCTATGTGACATCCTTTTATATATTTGAACATGGCTATCATATCACCCCTTAACCTCCTCTTCTCCAGGCTAAACATGCCCAGCTCCCTTAGCTGTTCCTCATAAGGCATCGTTTCCAGGCCTTTGACCATTTTGGTTGCCCTCCTCTGGACACGTTCCAGTTTGTCAGTGTCCTTCTTGAACTGTGGTGCCCAGAACTGGACACAGTACTCCAGGTGAGGTCTGACCAGAGCAGAATACAGTGGCACTATTACTTCCTTTGAGCCATCACTACAACTCATACTGAACCACTGCACTGATGTGATGAGTGTCGACTCCTTGGAATACAGGTGTATCTGCCCTGCCTTGGAATACAGGTGTGTCTAGCTCTGCCTTCTGAGAAGTGCTTAGAAAAGGAAGGAGGAAGATGTTGCTGACAAGCTGGTCCATGGCTGTACCAGCCAGGTCTACCAGTCTTTGGGGGCACACTTGCAAGCCACAGTTACTGTCATTGGTGCTACACTACACCACAACTCAGAACAATCTGCAAGCTACAGTGGTACCTCGGGTTAAGAACTTAATTCGTTCTGGAGGTCTGTCCTTAACCTGAAACTGTTCTTAACCTGAGGTACCACTTTAGCTAATGGGGCCTCCTGCTGCCGCCACCGCATGATTTCTGTTCTCATCCTGAAGCAAAGTTCTTAACCCGAGGTACTATTTCTGGGTTAGTGGAGTCTGTAACCTGAAGCATCTGTAAACTGAGGTACCACTGTATTCTTTTGGCTACAATAGGATGCATGGTTCAAACATAATTTCAGTGAGGTGGAGAAGAGACAGGGGTGGCCACCGTGTGCCCAGGGGCACCACACTGGCCATGCCTAATGTAGAGCAATGCTTTGCATTCCTTCATGGTAGGACCAGCACATAGGGTTGCCATATTCCCAAAAGTGAAAATCTGGACAAAGCTGTTGAGCTGTTTCCCCACTCCCTTTTTGGCCTTTTTTTGAATTTTTAAATGATATAATCATCATCATCATCATCATCCACTTGCCAGTGTGAGTGTAGTGGTTAAGAGCGGTGGCCTCGTAATCTGGTGAACCGGGTTCGATTCCCCGCTCCTCCACATGCAGCTGCCTGGAGACCTTGGGCTAGTCACACTTCTCTGAAGTCTCTCAGCCCCACTCACCTCACAGAGTGTTTGTTGTGGGGGAGGAAGGGAAAGGAGAATGTTAGCTGCTTTGAGACTCCTTAGGGTAGTGATAAAGCGGGATATCAAATCCAAACTCTTCTTCTTCTTCTTCTTCTTCTTCTTCTTCTTCTTCTTCTTCTTCTCCATACATCTGGGTTTCCCCAGACATTTTGCTGATTTGCCAAAAATTCACCCGGACAAGATTTTCTGGCCAAATTTCTGGACGTGTCTGGGAAAAACAGGGCACATGGCAGCCCTACCAACCCATGGTCTGCAAAAATGGCATTGTTTTGAAGCATGAAACAATTATTTGATTACAAACTTTAACTGTCTTGGGACACAACCCATACAATCCAGAACTTTAAAGTCATTCTAATTTTCATGGGAACAATTTGTAGAACTAGTTATGGTGAATGGGCTTTCACCAACCTGGGAGCATCTAGATATTTTGGACTACAGCCCCCCATCAGCCCCAGCAGGCTAGGTCATAACTATTGCTTTCTTCCTATATAAATACACATGTAAGGCTGTCACCACGCAGCTCCCATTGGAGAATTTGTAGCATCTCATCAGAATTCTGCATTTGCATGAAGCCAGGGGTAGTTAGGGTTGGAGAACAACAAAGCAGAGGTGGCAGCCACTAGTTAATTTATAAAAATGCAACACTGACTCCCTTCTGTTTCATCTTCATCATCTTCAGTAAACACGAGATGCAGGAAAATGAAAGGAAAGATAGTGTTAAGTTTTCTGTTATCGACTGAGAAACAGCTGACCTTCTCTGATCCTTTTTGATGATGTTCTGTAACAACAACTGTTGAACTATCCTCTCTCCCCGGGTGTTTTCTCAGATAGGCATGTGGTTCAGGAACACAACAGTTAGTGAGAATTACATGTCTCTAACCAGCAAAATCCACAGAAAGCTAATCTTGTTCTTAAATGTTACTTTGAGAACAAGACTTGCTTGTACCAGATTTCATTCAATTTGTTGTGCTTTGCAGGGGACAGTGCTTTGCAATGTTTCCATTCTATATGAATTTAGGAAAAAGAAATTAGCGACACCAGAAATATGTCGATCAGAGGAGTGCATAAGAAAATAAGAAGAGCCTGGTGGATCAGGCCCAGCTAGTCCAGCAAACTGCTCTCACGGTGGTCAAACAGTTGTCTGTTGGAAACCAGGGAGCAGAAACTATTTCTGCAGGCTTTTGTATAAAGGTAAAGGTAAAGGGACCCCTGACCATTAGGTCCAGTCGTGACTGACGCTGGGGTTGCGGAGCTCATCTTGCTTTATTGGCTGAGGGAACCGGCGTACAGCTTCTGGGTCATGTGGCCAGCATGAGTAAGCCGCGTCTGACAAACCAGAGCAGCACACGGAAACGCCGTTTACCTGTCTCAGTAGTGCAATGGGGCCTTCCACACCCTCCCCTTCCTCCATGCACCCCCATGGCTCCCCCAAATCAACTCTAGAAAAACCCTAGAACATAGCACAGGGAGGGGGGCGGGAGGGGAGATCATCCCATCAGCCAAGCAGAAACGTTTGTGCTGGCAGCACAATACCTTAGTGCTATGTTGAATTCCACCCTGAGTTTGCTGTTTTCCTTTTCCTTCCCTGCCCCCTTTCCTTTTGTGCTGTGTCGTTTTTATTCTGAGGGAAGGCTCCCTGAAGCTAGAAGGCCTGTAAATCATGGGTGGATAAGCACTTGAAGATAAGCACCTGGAGTGAAAAGTAAAGCAAACTCTTGAGTTCTCGGCTTCTATTTTGCATCTCTGTTGTTTGGGTCATACGCCGACCAGCATTTAAATGCTATTTCTGAATTTAATTTCCTTATAGAAGAACTGAGCCATAATCTTGGAAAGTGGCACCAAGTCAAGAATTTCACTCAATAACTAGGCTGAAATTTCTTCAGGATACTCTTTCTGCATAATACATACAAATTGCCTGGCAACCAACCCAGGTGGGCCACACGCCAGAGGAGACTTATGGGTGCTTAAGCCCACTGGCATCCTTTATTATCCTCTATTATTATTTATTTCAGCAGGCCTACCAAGGCATAGACTGCTGTTGCCTATATTTTTACTTATCTGCGTTTGAATGAGAATTATTTTGTGCACATTTTAATATAGTTACTGCGAGTTTTAGCTGTGTTTTACCTTTGATTTTATTACACAAACCCAGTGTTGTCTGGTTCCTATTGAGGCTGGTGAGGCAAAAGCCAGTATTCCTGGCAGAAAATGTGCAGCATTTGGACTTGATGCACATCCATAACTATTTGTAAACACCCAGGTACGTGTGTGTCTGGGTATTGGGTATGGGTGATGGGTGATGGGTAAAGGTAAAGGGACCCCTGACCATTAGGTCTAGTCACGGACGACTCTGGGTTGCGGCGCTCATCTTGCTTTATTGGCCAAGGGAGCCAGCGTATAGCTTCCAGGTCATGTGGCCAGCATGACTAAGCCGCTTCTGGCGAACCAGAGCAGCACACGGAAATGCCGTTTACCTTCCCGCCAGAGTGGTACCTATTTATCTACTTGCACTTTGACGTGCTTTCGAACTGCTAGGTTGGCAGGAGCAGGGAATGAGCAACAGGAGCTCACCCCATCGTGGGGATTCGAACTGCCAACCTTCTGATCGGGAAGTCCTAGGCTCTGTGGTTTAACCCACAGTGCCACCTGCGTCCCACTAAAAGGCAGGGAGGCTAGGAGGAGGAGGAACCAAGTCAATGACAGGCAGTGGCAGAGCCAACGATAGGTGGAGCCAGAGCCAATGACAGGCAGAGCTAACTACGGTAATTCTGGTTCCATTTTTGCCCAAGGTGGGGGTCGAACCCATAACTCTGAGATGGAGAGTCTCCTGCTCTACCGACTGAGCTTTGATTAAGCAGTTTAGGCATCGTTCAAAATAAATGAATAATAAAACACACGAGGTGCATAAGAACATTTAGCAGTGCATTGGAAATGTGGGTGTAAAGAACGTCATGTAGTAATGATTCTACCCTGATCACATGGGGATGGGGGAGAAATCTAGTCAACTAGGGTGGTCATGAACCCTACTTCACAGAGGACAGTTTTCTGAATGACTCAGGACCCAAACATCTAAAAGACCATCTCCTGCCTACAGACCCTCTTGGATGCTGAGATCTGTAGAAGAGACCATCTTGTTACTTTATAAGCTTGACTGCACTGTCTGGCATCATAGCTGTTCCATGCAAGGGGGGAGTCTCAATTGGGCCAGGATCTGTGTCCTTACACTAGTATGGACGTCGAATCACTTCACGTGTTGGCCAAAAGCACAGAGAGGGAGACTGACTGGCTTGCAGAGCCTGAAGACCCCCCTCTTGTGTATTCTCCCAATGTCTGCTGCTGTAGCAGGGGTCATCTGAACTCCCCTGTGATGTCCAAGCACATACTACTACAGTGGTACCTCAGGTTAAGAACTTAATTCGTTCCGGAGGTCCGTTCTTAACCTGAAACTGTTCTTAACCTGAGGTACCACTTTAGCTAATGGGGCCTCCTGCTGCTGCCACGCCACCGGAGCATGATTTCTGTTCTCATCCTGAAGCAAAGTTCTTAACCTGAGGTACTATTTCTGGGTTAGTGGAGTCCGTAACCTGAAGCGTATGTAACCTGAAGCGTCTGTAACCCGAGGTACCACTGTATTCAGTGCCTCTCTTTAGCTCTGATGTCACTTAGCTCGGCCTGACTGGGGCTGATGGAAATTGTAGTTCAAAGCATCTGGAAAGGTTAGCAAAGGCTGCTCTAGTCAAAGCGATGCACTTTCAGGTCGACCAGTTCTCTAAATCATTCCCAGTGAAATCAGGAGGACTTGGTTTCATAGGTTGTGCCTACAAAATGCTATACTGCAATAATTATCAGTCACCATGTAAATAAATGTCTTTTGCTTAAGGCAGCCTTTCCTAACTTGGTGTTCTCTAGACTAGGTGATATGGAAGATCTCTCCCATCATGAGGATGGGAGTTGTACTTCAAAATATATGGAAGATCCCAGGTTGGCAAAGGACATGTTAGCCAATAGCAATGGATTGTACTCAATGGGCAGTAATGGCTAGTGTAAGGCAGTGGTGAATATGTCAATTTCGATTTCCCTCAGTTTTTCATTTTTCCACTCATAAGTTCAGTTTTCAACATTTCTACACTAGTTTGAAATTATATATATATATATATACACACACCTCATGAAAATGTATACCATAGTATTTTTGTACAAATTTCTCCCAATACCCAGATTTTTGTATGCAATATTGTCTAATGGACACATTTGTTTTGGTAAAGCAACATTCCGTAACATAACACATTTTTTGTATGTTATTTTCACGCATATATGCATTTTTATTCACACTTTATTCTAATATATTTGCATTCTTGCTCAAATTACTTAAGCGGAGAACAGTACTGAAAAGATTCTGAGAAGTGCGAATTTTGAAGGACGGTGTCAGTTTTGTTATGGAAAGTGCAAATTAGGAAGATTCACCTTTAATTGTGAAGTGAATCAAATTTATTCCCCAATCTGTAACATCCATTTCCCGTGCCACAATGTGGCAGAACATTAACTTGTTTGTGGTTGAAGATCCAGGGGGAAGGAGCAAGACTGTTGCAGAGTTTAAAGACAGTTAAGAAATAAATTGTTAAGATAACACTCCCTCCCCCAATAAAATACACAGTTATCTGAACGACAGGTACAAGAAGTTCTCACCGTGGCAGGTCTTTAACCGTCTTCCCAAAGTCAGGATCTGAGGCTGTTTTGTGGCTGCCGTCTTTCAGCTGATGGGCCTCTGAAACTCTCATGACTATGTAGCGCTGAGAACCTGAAAACATACAAAATTCAGTGTGCACCTTGCAGCCGGGGGATTTGGCCAGACTGGGGGCTCGTCCCAATTCAGAAACGTCCTCCATGCAGTGTTCAAATGGCTGGGGGTTGTAGAGAGTGCCCTTTCCAAATATCAACCTGCTTGCCAGTTCTGACCTCTGATCTCCGTGCCTTTTGAGCCTGTGTAGTGTCCTTGGCTAGAATATGCATCTGGGACAGGGGAGGACAGCATTCAAATCCACACTTGCCCATGAATATCACTGAGAGGCCATGGGCTAGTCACTATCTCTCAGTGTTGCCTACCTCACAGTCAGGGAAGGGTTTCCTATGGAAATAATGAAGTTTAAGCTTCAGGGCTGCAGAAGCAATTTTAGTTCACATTGCTTAAAATTCTGGGGTCTAGCAGACCCAATTTGAGTGGCACGACCCGAATTCATTTATTTTTTTGTTGCATATATTTCCACAATCCCATACCCTCCAAGATTTCTCTGATGAAAATAAGGACTTCCTATTATTCCATAATAATAATAATTTTTATTATTTATACCCCACCCATCTGATTGGGTTGCCCCAGCAGCTCTGGGTAGCTTCCAACATATTCAAAAACATTAAACTTTTTTTAAAAACCCCTTCCCTATACAGGGCTGCCTTCAGATGTCTTCTAAAAGTTGTATAGTTACTTATCTCCTTGGCTCGAGGGTCACATAACTCCATACCCTCCAAGATTTCTCTGATGAAAATAGAGATGTCCTACCATACCCTCCAACATTTTTCTGATGAAAGGAAGGACATCCTAAGGCAAAGCAGGATGTTATGGGATCAGATCAGAAACCAGGATGGCTTCTGCGAATCTGGGACTGTCCCTGGAAAATAGGGACTGTTGGAGGGTCTGCAATCTCAAAGTTTGAGAGTCAGTAGCACAGATGTTGTAAAGGTGTGCTGATCTGTTATGGAACAACCCCACTGAAGCAGGTAACAGTGGTTACCCAGACCTCATTGTTGGTCGTAAAGAGGCCCCCATGACACTTCAAGCTTCGGGGCCACAAAAATGTAGGTCCACCACTGCTCACAGGATAGGATTGGGCCACAAGTCATCAGCTATCTATGGTGGCCCAACAGAGACCCAATCAATGTCCTGGTTTTGCTGCCTGCACAGGCGTGCCGCCAACTCATGGAAGGCCACAGAGTTTCCACCTTACACCAACCAGCAGTGGCAAAGGCTCTCTAGACAAAGGTATTTCCTAGCTCTGCTTGCGAATGTCAGGAATTGAACCCTGGGACCCTTTTACATGCAAATCATGTGCTCAGCAGCAAGATACCAACCCTCCCGTGTAGAGTTCAGTGCATGAAACATTATCCGCAACTCCAACAGACCAAGAGAAGGTCAATTGACACATCAGAAGGAGGTGAGCAGGGGGGAAATGGCATAAAAGGCAGCAGCAGGCCTGATCCAGAGGCTGAGCGGAGAACTTCAGTGCCTTGTCTGCTCTGAGCTTGGCTATCCAAAAGTATCGCACAATGAAAAGGGAGGGTGAGGGAATCTTAGGACACCATGTGTGTGTCATCAAGCAAGTTGCAAAAAGCTCGTCAGCTTGTTTCAAAGTGATTTGGGACAAGGCCTGAGAGGGCAAGGAAGGCAACTGAGCAAACGAGACGCCGGAGGAGGAAGATGCGGGGGAGAGAATTTGCATTGCTTTCATTTCTCCCCCTCCACAGGCAAATATGCACAGCATGACCGAGGTTCAAATGATAACACACAGGGCATAACAATGGCAGATTAACAAAGGCACGCTGTTCTGCAAATTCTGTTTCCTTTCCCTATTCGTCTCCCAGGGCTCCAGGATTCAGTCGGTCCACTGCCAGCTAGCTGGTACATCCGTGCTAGGCCATGGTTTGGTGGAGCATAACGTACAAACAAGACCACTGGTTATTTTGTATTTTGATTAACAGAATGGTAAGCAGAATGAACTATTTCCCAAGCCTTACCATTTGTTATGCTGCCTATCTGTATTGTCCAGCCACATGCTGAAAGAGAATCTGACCACATTCTTAAGAACATCATGGGAAACTGCCTTATTCTGGGCCACTTTGTTTGTCCATGAAGTCCTGTATTGCCTACACTGGGTTACAGCAGCTCTCTAAAGTTTCAGGCTGGGGACATTCCCAGCCCTACCTGGAGATGCCATGGAACTGAACCTGGGATTTTCTGCATGCAAAGCAGGTGCACCAATGCTATGCTATGGCCTCTCCTGCTCCTTATCAGGACAGGAGGGGTACAGTATTAGTATCCCTGCCACTTGGCAGCCCTCCACTCTCTTGAGAAGGGCAAGGACTGCTGTGCTGCAAAATGAGTTTAGTTGGGACACTCTTGACCTACCTGGCAGGCGATGAGGGTACCCCAAGATGGGGATTGAGATCAAAAGGGATCCAGCCCCTGCACCCAGGAATCCAATCCACCAAGCTCCAACCCACAGAGTATTGTCCGGTGTAAGATCAATTCTGCAGGTAAAGGGCAGAAGAGGAAGGTTACTTGTTTATGAAAATTCTCTTCCCGTATTCTGACAAACTGACGTCAGCCAAGAACAAGCCAGGGATGATCTAGGCAAAAAGCTTATGACGATGTCATAGTGCCCCTACTTCCCAGACAGGTGGAGACTTTTGAAGGCGAGGGAAGCATTTTGCAATGTTTAGAAATGAACCTGAATTCCACTTGAGTTGGAATTTAGCAGGCTGGGCTCACGTCAAGGCTCAAAGGCCCACTCTGGGATTCAAGATTAATAGATTGTAGGCTTAACTGCTTAAATTAATGTAAGATGAAAGTTTCTACGCAAGATCGAAATACCAAAACAGAGCGAGTGAGCAGAGTTTTTAATATCTGCCAATAGCTTTAGCAAAATTATCAGCACAGGTCAAACGGCCTCCCTTTCTTTTAACCAAAATTATCTGTGCATTTGGCATATGCCCTTAATTCATAGGACCACTTAATTGCTTATTGCTGCAGTAATCACTCCATGAGCAGTGCTTTGGCCAGAGATAAAAGCACTCCTGAAAAATAGCACAGTATTATCCTTCTGCCTTCCCAAAGGTGCCCTTGACCCCAGAGAGAACCCTTAAATCACCCTTATGTTGAACAATTTTTTTTTGCATGGGACTTCCTTGTAGAAACAACCATGAACAGATAAACCTTCCAAAAGGAACCGTTTGGTCACATAATAATAATAATAATAATAATAATAATAATAATAATAATATTTATTTATATCCCACCCTCTCCAGCCGAAGCCGGGCTCAGGGCGGCTAACAACAATAAAATAATACAACATTCTAAAATCATTTCATTAAAATTAATTCAACTCAAATTGATGGCAACCATTAGGCTAAAGTTCTGTGAAGATTGCCAAAGGAGGGAGTCAGGCTGTGCCCTGACCAAAGGCCTGGTGGAACAGCTCTGTCTTGCAGGCCCTGTGGAAAGATGTCAAGTCCCACAGGGCCCTAGTCTCTTGTGACAGAGCGTTCCACCAGATTGGAGCCACAGCCGAAAAAGCCCTGGCTCTAGTTGAGGCCAGCCTAACCTCTCTGTGGCCTGGGACCTTCAGGATGTTTTTGTTTGAAGACCGTAAGTTCCTCTGTGGGACATCTGGAGAGTCAGTCCCGTAGGTCCTAGGGTCCTAGGCCGTAGAGGGCTTTAAAGGTTAAAACCAGCACCTTAAACCTGATCCTGTACCCCACCGGGAGCCAGTGCAGCTGGTATAGAACCGGGTGAATGTGATCTCGCAGCGAGGACCCCATAAGGAGTCTTGCCATGGCATTCTGCACCCGCTGGAGTTTCTGGGTCAGTCTCAAGGGCAGCCCCACGTAGAGCGAGTTACAATAATCCAGTCTGGAGGTGACCGTCGCGTGGATCACAGTGGCTAGGTCAGGGCGAGAAAGGTAAGGAGCCAACTGCTTAGCTTGGTGGAGATGAAAAAATGTCGCCTTTGTTGTAGCTACAATCTGCTCCTCCATGGAAAGGGAGGTGTCGAAGATTACATCAAAACTCTTAACGGACGGTGCTGGCACTAATTGCACCCCTGCAAGAGATGGGAGTTGCCCCCCCAATCCCATATCGTCCCTTCCCAGCCAAAGGACCTCTGTCTTCGAAGGATTTAACTTCAACCGGCTCCCACGTTACCATCCAGCCACAGCTTCCAAACATGTGATCAGTGTGTCTGGGGCCGAGTCAGGATGGCCATCCATCAACAGATAGAGTTGGGTGTCATCAGCATACTGATGGCAACCCAGCCCAAAACTCCAGACAAGCTGGGTGAGGGGGCGCATAAAGATGTTGAAAATCATCGGGGAGAGTATCGCACCCTGAGGCACTCCACACACCAAGGAGTGGAACGATGACAATTCCCCCCCAAGCGCCACCCTCTGTCCCCAACCAGAGAGAAACGAGCGCAGCCATTGAAGGACTGTGCCCTGGATCCCCACGTTGGCAAGGCAGTGGTCCAGGAGTTCATGATCGACCATGACGAAGGCTGCTGACAGATCTAGAAGAATCAGCAGCCCCAACCCGCCTTGATCCAGCTACCTGTGGAGATAATCTGTTAGGGCGACCAGAGGCGTCTCGGTCCCATGACCAGCGCGGAAGCCGGACTGGAATGGATCCAGAGCCGATTAGACCATTATCTAGACCATTATCGTCTAATGTTATGGTTGGTGGCTGTCCAGGGCATGGGCAGAAGTTTTTCCCTCCCAGCCCTACCAGTGGGAAATCACATGTGACCTTCCACATTCAAGTCATCTGTTCTGCCATGCAAATATGGCCTCTCCTTTAGCATCTAGAGTACCACAGTTGTACTGGAATGGCTAGGATGCCATAATACCTGGAGTGTACCTGAATTGTGATGTTTTTGATCCTGGTTCACCTGATTATCCTGATGTCGCTCTAGCCCTGATGTTCTCCTGTTCTGCCACCAGGTTTACCCTATGCTCTGGATTCCTTTTTATCCCCAGCTTCTAGTTCCTGGTTCCAGGCTGCTGTCTCCAGCCCTGCCTGGTTCAAAGACTGAACCTGAGACTTTCTACATGGAATATAATAAGAGCATCAGGAGAACCTTGCTGGATCAGGCCAAAGACCCATCTAATCCAGCACTCTGTTGTCACATTGGCCAGCCAGAAGCCTCTGGGAAGCAACAACACCTTCTCCCCACTTGTGATTCTCAGCAACTAGGATTCAGAGAAAGGTTATCTCCATCAGTGGAGGTAGAACATAGCCAGCAGGGCTGGTAGCCATTGATAACCTCATCCTCTTTTGAAAGCCCTATACAGCCTAGGACCTTCATACCTATGGGACCGCCTCTCCTGGTATGTCCCACAGAGGACCTTACGGTCTTCAAACAAAAACATGTTGGCGTTCCCGGGCCACAGGGAGGTTAGGCTTGCCTCAACCAGAGCCAGGGTTTTTTTCGGCTGTGGCCCCGATCTGGTGGAACGCTCTGTCACAAGAGACCAGGGCCCTGCGGGACTTGACACCTTTCCGCAGGGCCTGCAAGACGGAGCTGTTCCACCAGGCCTTTGGCCAAGGCACAGTCTGATTATCCTTTGGCAATCCTCATAGAACTCTAGCCCAATGGTTGCCATTAATTTGATTCCGAATTGATTTTAGTATGAATTGATTTTAGAATGTACTTCAATTAATTGATTGTGATTTTATGTAAACTGTGTTACTTTTACTGTTGTTAGCCACTCTGAGCCAGGCTTCGGCTGGGGAGGGCGGGATATAAATAAGAATTTGTTTGTTTGTTTGTTTGTTTGTTTGTTTAAAGCTATGCATGCTTCAATATGGTCCAAGTCATCAGAAGTGAATGGGCTAAAATTCTGAATGAATGTCATTGGAGCTTCCTGTGACTGATGATAGAGGCCTTCACAGTTCTTATGCTCTTGCAGCGAGAAGCTAATATTTAATTAATAAAATAAATAAAATCAGCAGTTGAGGAAGAGCACAGCCATCGCCGCTATGGGGCTGTCATCCACTGGGGCTAGAAAGTTGCAGCCAATTGAAGTTGATCATAGGATCATAGAATTGGAAGGTTTGAAATGACCACGAGGGTCATCTAGTCCAACCCCTTGCAGTGCAGGAAACTTTTGCCCAATGTGGGCTCAAACCCATGACTCTGAGTTTAAGAATCTCTTGCTCTATCAACTGAGCTAAGATGCATAACAGGACTTGTATGATACTTGGCCTTACGTATAATGTGTGAAGTGATTTTCTGAAAATGCTGGAGTTGAGCTACATTTCATGTTTGAAGCCTGTTTTAGAGTTCAGCAGGATGAGAGCAGATCGCCTGTGTCTTTACTTTTAAAAACAACAAAAAACCTAGGTAAAAGGTTTAACAAGAATTTGCTGTGTCCAAGATAAAGAATGCTAAACTTACTGTCTTCCGATTTCGGTGTAGATGTTCAGAAAGATCCCTCCAACCAGATAGCCAGCTGCAGGACCCAATATGGCAGCAGTGTAGAAAATAGCTGAAAAAGAAAGATATCAAGAGAGACACTTGAAAAAGTTCAAAATTCAAAAAGTCAGTTCTGAATTCTAAAGTTTTGCTGAAGTTCAGATTTTTTTTGGAGGGGGGAGGGAATTCATTGCAGATGTACCATCAGTATCTCCAAGTTCCCAACGTTCTCTCGCTATCACTGGGGAACAGATGTTCGTTCGCCCACATTAGTACTGCAAAGGGAAAGCTTAAGTGCTGTTCACTTATTAATTTTTGCCATAGGTGGGTCCAGAGATGGAGGAGAAATTTGATTCAGATTGCATTTAAAGGCGAATCTGTGTAATTCTCACTCTCTGAAACAGTACGAGAAATGAAACACAGCCATCCTTTGAAATTCAGACTGCTCCAACTTTGGCAGTTCTCCAACCAAGCAATGTATCCAAAAATGCATATCCTGTGTTAAAGTGTGAAAAATCACATAAAAATGTATTGTTTCAGAGGGAAATGCGAAAATTGCATACAAAGACGCACGTTTGGAGAATTTTGCACTCAAATGCTGATGAATTCTCATGAAGACTTGCTTTTTTAAAAATAAAATAAAATTGCAAACAGAAATTGAAATGTGGAGAACTGAATTTAAGACTTAATAATCCTCTGTGCAAATTGCACTGAGATGGTGGCTTAGAAGGCAATTATAAAATTAATGGTAGTATTAGTAGTAGAAATAATAATAATAGGACTGCAATTAATTCACTGTGCCTGAATAAATCTTAGGGCTTACCCCTTCTGTAGATGACAAGAGGAGGGATGTTTCTTGATTCCATTTTGTGGCTGATGAATGATACGCAGGCAGTCGCAGAGGGAGAACTCATTAACTCCTTTGCATTGCACAGCTCTTCAGCACTCAAGCTGGCTAATTGCTACACCTGTGACTAATGCTTCCTTTTGTGTGTACTATAATTCATTGAGATGGGGCGGGGAAGAGCATTGTGTGACAATGCTGCAAGGATCAGGCTTGCCTTGTGGAGCTAAGGATGTAGTCTGCTAGACAGCTGGTGCTCTTGTACAAGGAGGCAATATAAGGATAAATAATAACTAATATCTTATTCTACCCTCCAAATCTATCCAATGGGGCAGGTGTATGGGAAGGAGAAAGCAACACCAACATGCCCGCCATGACAGAGGAGGGCTGTACTAAGGAGGAATGGTGGGAGCCTCCCCCTTCCCCTGCTGCTGAATCTTCCCAGGAGCAGGAGGACAGTATAGATTTGGAACAGTGGTTTGCAGAGGGGCACAGTTTCAGAAGGCAGTAGCTGGGAAATACTGGGTGGGGAACAGCTAGGAGATGAAACACTGGGAGAGAGAGGGTTAACAGATCCACTGTCTCTGGAAAGCATTCATCCGCTCTCCCCAAGGTCAAGAAGAGCTGAGAAAGTGGCAGAAAAGAAAGGACACAAATCACAGAGGGGACAAGCTCAGATTACAAGACGCAGCAGTGACATGGATTCATAGGGACGTAAAAGGGTGGGATTCTTAATTGGGAGCACTGCACTTTCTTGGAGATGGGTTCTTTGTTCTCTGGCTGTGATTATTAAAGTTTCTAACTGGTAAGAAGACTCCTTTCCCTTTGTTCTGCTTATCTACTGGCACGGAGGGAGGAAGCTGATTCCCTGAAGCCTGACACTTACCGATATACACGGGGGAATAGTTGGACTTGACATTTTCATCCAAATAGGTCACTCCAAGAGTGTATAATGGCGTTGCTCCGATCCCGTGAAGGAACTGTCCGAGCATGAAGACAAACCGGTAACTGGAGAGGCTGGAGACGCTTTCTGTGCACCCCATGCTCTGATTGGAGGAGCACATGCCAATCTCCTCCGAGAAATGTACTTCGTATTGGCTGGTGGTGAACTGGGGCAGCGCAAAGATGACCGACCCAATGCCCATGATCAACACCCCCCACCCCAGCCACCGCGGTTTGTGCCCATTCCCCCCAAAGTAACTGACAAACGTCAAGCACACACAGGCAGCGATGTCGTAAGAGCTGGCAATCAGCCCACTCTCGTAGCTCCGGAGATCAAACCGCCGCTCTATGGAGGTGATGACTGTATTAATGAAGCCATTCACGGTCATCCCCTGAAGGAAAGAAGCCACGCAGAGGAAGAACAAGACCCCCTTGGGCGTGTTGAAGAACTGTAAACAACTCGGCGTGAAGGCTCCCCATCCGCAAACCAGCACTTCCCCTTCTGAGGAGACGTATTTAATGCCTTTGCTGAACTGGCTCTTGTTTTCGGGTCCTTCGTCACAGAGGGGTTTAATGCAGGAGTCCGAAGGGCTGTTTGCGCTGGAGTATAAAGTGCCATTGCTCTCAGAAGTGTTGCAAGATTCCTTGGGACTGGTCGTATCAAAAGTAAGGCTGTTCTCCGCTGGGTTGGATGGGCTGGAGAAAATGAGTTTCTGGGTAAAGTTGAAGCCATTTTCTCCTGCCAAGTTGTGAGGCATTGCCATCAAAGAGGAGCCAAGAGGTGTGTTGTGCTTTTTTGCTTTTTTTCCTCCCTTCCCCAGGCTGGCTTGTGTTCTTCTAACAGTGGGCAGAGGTCTCGGCTTTCAGAAGGGGAGAATTGGCAATAAGTGCACCGATGGGTATACAGGCAGTGCTGAGACCCTGAAACAGCTTCATTCTGGAAAGAGGTAATCAGATGGAATGAGGAGGTGCACTTTTTATTTTATCACATTACATTCTTATCCTGGTTTTCCTCCACAAAGCAACACTCCCAACCATGCATTTTATCTTTTTTAAAATAATAATAATAATTAGTAAATTAAGATATCTTGAAATAAACACATACAATATACAGTAAAAGTAATAAGCGTAACCAATACAAATGCATGTAGAAATAGAAATATTATAGAATTTAAATGTAGACACAATGGGGAGGAAAACCTAAAAGCAACTGAGAATCTTTACACAGTATGTGACTATCCCAAGGTCACCTAGTGAGTGACCACCAACTTGGATGGCTGTAAAAATAAGTTACACAAATTCATGGAGGATACGGCTGACAGTGCCCACTAGCTATGTTGTCTATGCCCTGCCTCTTGGCTATATGCCTCTGAATGCCAGTTGCAGGAAACTACTGGTGAGGTTATGCTGAGGTTCTGATCGCTGGCTTCCCATGGACATCTGGTCAGCTATTGTGATTTTGTTGAGATTCGTGCATACAGAGGGTTGGACCATGTGACTCGTGGGGTCTCTTCCAAATCTACAATTATGTGATTCTATGTGCTTCTCACAGGTCAGGCCATGGTGTGGTTGCAATTTTAGCCCCAGACATTGCACCCACTTCCTGCAACAACAAATCTAACCAATTCAACTCAATGGTGCAACACTGGAAAGTGTCAATCACTTCTCCTACCTGGGCAGTTATCTTTCCAAAAGGGCCGACATTGATGCCGAAATCCATCATCGTTTGAGCTCTGTGAGTACAGCTTTCTCCCTATTGAAGTGCAGGGTGTTTGAGGACCAGGAAATTCACAGGGAAACCAAAATGCTTGTTTACAAAGCTATTGTACTACCAACCTTACTGTATGCTTGTGAAACATGGACCACTTAAAACCCCATCTCCAACTCCTCAAAAGAGTCCATCAACGGTGTCTCCAAAATAATTTAAACATCTCTTGGGAACACAGGCGAACTAATGCCAGTGTAGTGGAAGAAGCAAAGATCACCTGTGTCGAAGCAATGATTCTTCAACATCAACTTCGTTGGACTGGTCATGTTGCGCAGATGCCTGATTATTGTCTTCCAAAGCAACTACTCTATTCCGAACTTAAAAATGGAAAGCATAATGCTGGTGGTCAATGAAAGAGGTTTAAAGACTCTCTCAAGGCAAATCTTTAAAAATGTAGTATAGACACTACCAACTGGGAAACACTGGCCTGCGAGCGCTCCAGTTGGAGAACAGCCTTTACCAAAGGTGTCATGGTCTTTGAAGACGCTTGAACTCAGGACGAAAAGAAGAAACATGCTAAGAGGAATACACGCTTGGCAAACCCTCACCATGATCAACTCCTGCCCAGAAACCTATGTCCCAACTGTGGAAGGACGTGTGGATCCAGAATTGGCCTCCACAGTCACTCATGGACTCACTGCTAAGACCGTGGTCATGGAAGAAAATCTTACTCGGCTACAAGTGATCGTCAAAGAAGAAGAAGTACTTTTAGCACTTTTTAGCCACTTTCTGCAACAGCTGGGCACTGCACATGGTTTCTATGCAGACCATGAATGTTCTCACTGTGTGGAGCTCCTACACATGAGTAGAATCTGATCCACTAGGATTTCTTTATAGTCAACTGTACACAGCACATGGTTGTGGTAGGAAGCAGATAGGATGTCACACATTACCGGCTGATGAAAAGTAGGGCTGTTATGCAACTAGTTCATATTTAGGATCATTTCATTAAGGATGTTTCTCTATTTCTCCTTTGAAATAGGTCAAGTTAATCCTATGGGGACACTTGTAATACAAGGACACTATCAGGAGAAGCAATACTTCCCCCGCAAAAAGGATAAGGATGAAAGAAAGTCGGGGGGGGGGGGGAGGAGAGAAAACAACGTTTTAGAAGAGAAGCCCAGCATTCCATGGATATGTTATTTTTGAAATAAAAGCGATATATAATGGATCATTTTCCTGGGCTTTTAAGCTGCCTTCAGAATAGAAAAGGTTCCTTTTGTGGAGTGTTCTGATTGGCAATAAATAGGTTCACTCTTTGTCCCATCTCAAAGCTGCAGACAGTGCAAGACTGGGGTGCAAATATATTTTGCAGTAATTTGCATGACTTTATTAAAATACTAATTAAATACTAATTAAAAGCAGAGCAAAGCAGAGCAAAAGCAGAGACATCACCCTGCCAACAAAGATCCGTATAGTTAAAGTTATGGTTTTCCCAGTAGTGATATATGGAAGTGAGAGCTGGACCACAAAGAAGGCCGAAGAATTGATGCTTTTGAATTATGGTCTGGAGGAGACTCTTGAGAGTCCCATGGACTGCAAGATGATCAGACGTATCCATTCTGAAGGAAATCAGCCCTGAGTGCTCACTGGAAGGACAGATCCTGAAGCTGAGACTCCAATACTTTGGCCACCTCATGAGAAGAGAAGACTCCCTGGAAAAGACCCTGATGTTGGGAAAGATGGAGGGCACAAGGAGAAGGGGACGACAGAGGGCGAGATGGTTGGATAGTGTTCTCGAAGCTACAAACATGAGTCTGACCAAACTGTGGGAGGCAGTGGAAGATAGGAGTGCCTGGCGTGCTCTGGTCCATGGGGTCACGAAGAGTCGGACACGACTAAACGATTAAACAACAACAACGAATTAAAATACTGCTTAAAAGTTTGCAGAAATCCACACTTTCTAACTCATTAGGAACATAAGAAGCTGTCTTGCATTAGCCAGAGTAGACAACAGTGTGCTAAATGGTCCAATGGAATGACATGGTAGAAGGCAGCTACCTCTGTTTCTGCACCAAGTCAGACCATCTGATTGGTCCATCTCGCTCAGGATTGTCTACAGTGAATGGCAACAGCTCTCCAGAGATTCAGACAGAAGTCTCTCCCAAACCTTCCTGGAGATGTGAGAGACTGAACCTGGGACCTTCTCCCTACAAAGAAGGAATTCTAACACTGAGCCACAACTCTTCCCCTAAGATGCCTTTAGATGATGTTGCTTTCAGTCCACATATAAGCACAGACAGCAATACCCACGCAGTCCACGGAAATGGTTTGGGATGCACAATTTCCTTTGCAATGGAGATGGAAATTAGTGCCACCAGATTAATGGCCTCAGCCCTGTATACCTGAAGAAGTGTCTCCATCTCCATTAAAAAAAAAAATAAAAAAATTAAAAAATTGTCCAGTAGCACCTTAGAGATCAACTAAGTTTGTTCTGGGTATAAGCTTTCGTGTGCATGCACACTTCTTCTGTAACTGTATGATATTTAAGTTTCTATTTCAAAATACTAGACTGTCTTTGTCTAGCATCCTTGCCCACCACCATGTTAGTAAAGGGAACCGCCCTGAGACCTGCAGGTATAGGGCAGTATAATAATAATAATAATAATAATAATAATAATAATAATAATGTTGCTCTTGAAACTTCTCTCAAGTTTGAATTTAGTCTTTCAAAACACCTTGAAGAATTTCAAAAGGAGCCCAAACGTAAGGTTTCTATTGCTGCAACAGTTGCGTTCTGCTAGCACAGCAGGATTTCAGATTACTCTCTTCCTCCTCCTCCTTCTCTGTGTACCCCAAAATCAGCTCTAGAGGGTCTCCCAACCAGTAGTAATTGGCAGAAGAGGGAGATCTCAATCCGTTCTGCTCCTGTACCTTTTAACAGCAGCCTGATTCTGCAGAAATTAGCAAATGGGTATTTTCTTGGCGTGGAAACTATGCATCATCAGTTGTTAACATCTCCAGATAAGACTGCTGTTAAAGGCACCAATGTAGCCTCTGATTTTTATTTTTATTTTAAGTTGGTAACTAATTCTCACACAGCAAACTTTACTCTCTTCCTTTCTTTAAACATTGTGAGAAGATTATGAGGGTTACGTGCATCAGACAACCCATTAAAAGAGGGATAGCCACACTCTTTGGGCCTGTTGGCACACCTGGATTTTTGAGGGAGTGAGTCCCGTTGCCTCTGATCACTTTTTTGCCAACCCTGAGAGACAGAAAGTGTGTGCATATGCATAGCACTTTCCCAAGGAAACTGGGTAAAAGTCAGATCCAGCACAATTAATCTGAGCCTTGAAAAAAATATTATACTGAAAGAGGATGGTGGGGCAAAGAGAGAGGAGCATCACTTTTCCAATTTCTTCATTTGGTTCTAGACATTTTTCAAAGATGAAAAGCTAACCACTATAACTGCCTCACTGTGCCACATTAGCAGTCCCTGCTTTAGACTTACCGTATTTTTTGCTCTATAAGACACACTTTTTCCCTCCTAAAAAGTAAGGGGAAATGTGTTTGCATCTTACGGAGCGAATGCAGGCTGCGCAGCTATCCCAGAAACCAGAACAGCAAGAGGGATCGCTGCTTTCACTGTGCAGCAATCCCTCTTGCTGTTCTGGCTTCTGGGATAGCAACACAGAGCCTCTTCAGGGCAGCGGGAAGAATGTTTCCCCTGCCCTGAAGAGGCTTCGCGCAGCTATCCCAGAAGCCAGAACAGCAAGAGGGATCGCTGCACAGCGATCCCTCTTGCTGTTCTGGCTTCTGGGATTCAGAATATTTTTTTTCTTGTTTTCCTCCTCCAAAAACTAGGTGTGTCTTATGGTCTGGTGCGTCTTATGGAGCGAAAAATACGGTACATAGCAGCTTGAAGATGAGTGCAATGTGGGGGCAGAAACTGGCAACATTGAAAACCCAATAAATACTAATTTAAAAAACCCCACAACTTGTCCCCTAACCCCACTGGCCTTGGAAGCAGCGGTTTAAGAAGCGCTCCGACAAAGCTTTTCATCAGAGATTATCGTTTTAATCAGCATAACAAGTCACAGGGCCAATTAAAATCCCTCCCTGAAAACTCAGCTGCAACTACTCAGCGCAATAAATGTTATGAGTTAGCTGCCAAATGGCATGTAAAATAATCCTATTTCCCAAGGCATTTCTCAGTGGTAGGTAATCTTCTCTTTCACTCTCGCTGGCTTTGTGACTTTGATAAGGAATTACTATAGCAAATGAGATCCGCTCTTATCTTGTGTTTTCTCATAGCCGGGAGAGGCTTACGCCCCGCAAAGTGAAATTAGTTGCCGCCATTGGATGATGTGGCAGAATATAATGCGAGGCCTTGAATATGAGGAGGAGGAGAAAAGTGAGATGCAGAATTACCTGCAAAAGCATCAGAGAACCCAACTCAGATTTGTACATTTGCAGCTTGGTAATCACTGAAATTGTGGAACTGTGGGGATGCTACGACATGGGCACAATGTCTACGAGCACAATTCAGAGTGTTGGTGCTGACCTTTAAAGCCCTAAATGGCCTCAATCCAGTATACCTGAAGGAGCGTCTCCACCCCCATCGTTCTGCCCGGACACTGAGGTCCAGCTCCGAGGCCCTTCTGGCGGTTCCGTCCCTGCGAGAAGCCAAGTTACAGGGAACCAGGCAGAGGGCCTTCTCGGTAGTGGCACCCGCCCTGTGGAATGACCTCCCACCAGATGTCAAAGAGAAAAACAACTACCAGACATTTAGAAGACATCTGAAGGCAGCCCTGTTTAGGGAAGCTTTTAATGTTTAATAGACTATTGTATTTTAATATTCCGTTGGAAGCCACTCAGAGTGGCTGGGGAAACTCAGCCAGATGGATGGGGTATAAATAATTTTTTGTTGTTGTTTAGTTGTTTAGTCGTGTCCAACTCTTTGTGACCCCATGGACCAGAGCACGCCAGGCACTCCTGTCTTCCACTGCCTCCCACAGTTTGGTCAAACTCATGCTGGTAGCTTTAAGAACACTATCCAACCATCTCGTCCTCTGTCGTCCCCTTCTCCTTGTGCCCTCCATCTTTCCCAACATCAGGGTCTTTTCCAGGGAGTCTTCTCTTCTCATGAGGTGGCCAAAGTATTGGAGCCTCAGCTTCAGGATCTGTCCTTCCAGTGAGCACTCAGGGCTGATTTCCTTCAGAATGGAGAGGTTTGATCTTCTTGCAGTCCATGGGACTCTCAAGAGTCTCCTCCAGCACCATAATTCAAAAGCATCAATTCCTTGGTCATCAGCCTTCTTTATGGTCCAGCTCTCACTTCCATACATCACTACTGGGAAAACCATAGCTTTAACTATACGGACTTTTGTTGGCAAGGTGATGTCTCTGCTTATTATTATTATTAGAGCCTCAAGTCTTTCGAAGGCCTTCAGGACTAAGACTCTTAACAGGCTCTTTCCTTGGCACCACCATGAGTAGTCTGTTCTCTGCTGCCTCTATATAATTTCACTTTCTTGCCAGCAGCTTTTGGCTATGCAATAAAGCACTGCATCCTCCCCTCTAAGGCCATCTCCCTGACCTCTAGCTCCTTAACAGCTTTATGGCATGTTGCCTATATCTAGCAATGGGTGGTGACCCTTCTCATAAGAATGTAAGGAACTGTTTTATATTCAGTCAAGCCATCGGTCTCTCCAGCTCAGTAATGTTTACATTGGCTGGCAGTGTAATTCAATCCATGGCACCTCCATGGAAGGGGCGAGGGAGCTGGGCATGTTTAGCTTGGAAAAGAGGAGACTGTGAGGAGATATGATAGGGCTCTCTGAGGGCCTCTCACAGGGAAGATGGAGCAAGCTTTAAGTGACAAGAAAGGAGATGCCCACTAAGCATTAAGAATAACCTTCTGAGAGTGACAGCTGTTTAACAGTGGAACAGTCTCCTTTGGGAGGTTGTGGACTCTCCTTCCAAGGAGGTTCTAAAGCAGAGGTTGGATGGTCATAAGTCATGGATACTCTATTTGAGATTCCTGGACTGTCAGGGGTTGGACTAGAAACAGGGGTCAGCAAACTTTTTCAGCCGGGGGCTGGTCTGTTAGGATGTTGATGTTCCGTTCCACCTTAAAAGGAACAGACATGATTGTTGTATGTCACATGTCTGTTTACTCTCCAGCACAGCTTGCTGGGAACTTCCGTTTGTGTATAGCTTTTGCTTTTGCTGTCTTGCTTGGACATGAAAGGGAGAAGACATGTTCTTTTTCCTTTGTCCTGATGTATGCTGAATAAACTGCTTGTAAATGCGCTTTACATATGCCTCTATCTGCCCTTCCGTTGCAAAGAGTTTGTTTATCTGCTGGCTTGCGTGCTCAGCTCCTGAAAGGCTTCTGAAGCTCTGAGAGCAGTGTGGTGTAGTGGTTAAGAGCGATAGACTCGTAATCTGGGGAACCGGGTTCGCATCTCCGCTCCTCCACATGCAGCTGCTAGTCACACTTCTCTGAAGTCTCTCAGCCCCACTCACCTCGCAGAGTGTTTGTTGTGGGGGAGGAAGGGAAAGGAGAATGTTAGCTGCTTTGAGACTCCCTAGGGTAGTGATAAAGTAGGATATCAAATCCAAACTCTTCTTCTGAGTCGCAGTTTTGATGCAGAACCAAGGACTGGAGTTCGACCGGCAACTGGCTGTTGGGCTGGAGCCAGCTGTGGGCCTGCCAATTGCTCCTGTTCCCTTGGATGCATCCCAACACGGTCCACTGTCCCTCAGACCTTGTGGGGGGGCAGACTATATTTTGGGTAAAAAAATGAACACATTCCTATGCCCCACAAATAACCCAGAGATGCATTTTCAATAAAAGCACACATTCTACTCATGTAAAAACACTCTGGTTCCCGAACCGTCCATGGGCCAAATTTAGAAGGTGATTGGGCTGAATCCAGCCCCCGGGCCTTAGGTTGCCTACTCACAGACTAGATCCTTGGGTCCCTTCCAACCCTGGAGAGTCATTAGTTCAACCAATGCCTGAGGACAATACAGATGGGCCATTGGCCTGAGTTGTTATAAGGTGGCTTTCTAGGTGCCTATGAGATATCACCTTGCCAACAAAGGTCCGTATAGTTAAAGCTGTGGTTTTCCCAGTAGTGATGTATGGAAGTGAGAGCTGGACCATAAAGAAGGTTGATCACCAAGGAATTGATGCTTTTGAATTATGGTGCTGGAGGAGACTCTTGAGAGTCCCATGGACTGCAAGAAGATCAAACCTCTCCATTCTGTAGGAAATCAGCCCTGAGTGCTCACTGGAAGGACAGATCCTGAAGCTGAGGCTCCAATACTTTGGCCACCTCATGAGAAGAGAAGACTCCCTGGAAAAGACCCTGATGTTGGGAAAGATGGAGGGCACAAGGAGAAGGGGACGACAGAGGACAAGATGGCTGGATAGTGTTCGTGAAGCTACCAGCATGAGTTTGACGAAACTGCGGGAGGCAGAAGACAGGAGTGCCTGGCATGCTCTGGTCCAAGGGGTCACAAAGAGTCGGACAGGACTAAAGGACTAAACAACAAAATGATGCCAAGAGCTCAGTGAACAAAGGTTGGGATCAAAATGTAATGAAAACAACATGTAGTGACTGCATGACTTTTGATTAAAGCAAGAGCATAAGACTAGCCTGTTGGATCAGGTCCACAGCCCATCGAGTCCAGCATCCTGTTCTCGCTGTGACCAACCAGATGCCTGTGGGAAGCCCACAAGTAGGATTTGAGTAAATTTGCATTCTCCCCACCTGCAGTTTCCTGTAACTAGTATTCAGAAGCATTCCTGCTTCCAGCTGTGGAGGCAAAACGCAGCCATCAAGGAATCAACTCAAGGGACTGAAAAGGCAAGTAACACCTGTTAGCTTGGATATTGTACGAATTGGGAGACAGCAGGTCTCGGCCACAAGGCTACTTCTTCAATCTCTAAAGCCCTGCAATGTGCATCTGAGACCCCAGAAAGGGGGAAGATGAGTCAGTTCCCAGTTCTGCTATTGCGTTGCTCATTTTGGTAAGCCACACCTGACTTCCAGTCAAGCAACCAAGTGGTTCAAAGTGTCACCTAAATTGATCTCTATTTTTCTTAGAGTCACAGAACCGTGAAGTTGGAAGGGACCAAAGGGTCATCTAGTCCAACCCCCTGCAAGGGTGACCCCCTCTCTTCTTTAGGAGAAGGTGTCACCAACCCTTTTTGGCCCTTTCGGATACATTCACAGACTAGATAAGCTGTTGCCGGCACCACACACACACACACACACACCACAAACTGTTCCATGGGCTACAACAAAGTGCTGTTTTTGAGCCTGCTTTCAGAGCAGGGAGGGGCAGGGTAGGGGACCCAGGGGGACCTCTGTGGGTATGTGAAGGCCTATGGGGACACATTGGTGACCTCCACTTCAGGAAAGGATCACCGGATTCTGTTCTCTAACCCAGATCTCTGGGTCTCCCCCAAATGACTGAAATTGATAGGGGGAAACTCCACAAGTTGCAAATCCCAAATTCTAAGTCCAAATCTCACCATTGAACATAAGATGTTCCCTGCTGGAAAAGGCCAAAGACCCATATAGTTGAGCATCCCCTTCTCACAGCAGCAAAAGGGTGATTGCTGATTGAAAGGCTGGTGGTTCGAATCCCCAAAACTCTGTTGCTCTGTCCCAGCTCCTGTCAACCTAGTTCAAAAGCATGCCAGTGCAAGTAGATAAATAGGTACCACTGCAGCGGGAAGGTAAACGGTGTTTCCGTGTGCTCGGGTTCTCCATTGAAAAATTCAGAAAAGCACGATATTTTTAGATGTTCCTGTTTTATCTGTAAAGCCGCCTTCAGTTCATGTCAATAAAAAAAGAACAGGATATAAATAAATAAATAATAATATTTCTTGCTCCACCAGCAAATTAGCATGTGGCCCCCAGAAGGCTGCCCACTAGGGCAATGTGGCCCTTTGAGTAAAAAGAAATTACCGTACTCACTCTTGGTTCCTCTCTGCAATTCAGTTTTTTATCAGAATAAATAAAATAAAGATTTTCAGCCTGATTAACTTGGGACACCTTTTTGGACGAGCAAAAGATTTTTTCAGCTGAGAAAGTTGATCAATTAACTGTTGCAGCCGTAAATAGATTTAATGGAATAAAAGAAAAGAAAAACTTTGGAAACTGTTCCTGCAATCCTACCATATGTCTTTCTCAAAGAAAGTCCATTTGAGTCTTTTGAGGGTTTATTCCTAGGCAAGTAAGGCTGCAGCCCAAGTCATTTCCTTGAAAGCTGATTTCTTTTTGTTGGATGTTCTCAGAGAGCTGCGTCTTCAAGGCAGCATTGAGCCTGCTATTTTTGGACGTGCTCACGAAGAACCTGAGCGAGACCAGTGAGAATATACAGCCTGTTCTTGCTGAATCAAGGGCTGTGATTTGATTTGGCAGAGTCATTAGAAGCCATTAGTGCTTTGGAGCAACTAACGCACTTTTGCTGGAAGAATTAAAGTTTATTAGCAATTTGCTGGGACTGGAGACGCAATGGAGGATATGAAAAGAAGAAGTAGAAGAAAAAGGATCCACTTCTGGTTTGAGTAGTAGGTTGCAATCTTATGCACAGTTACCAGGAAGTAAGTTTCGTTACCAGGAAGTAAGTTTTGTGGAAAAGTGGGTCTCACTTTTAAGAAAGCATGCATTTAATGCACTAATTAGTAGTTAAAACCTTTCAAAAGAAGACTGCACCTTTTTGCAACACATCCATGCATATTATAATGACTACAGAGCCCACCACACAGTAGATTTCCTTTTTTTAAAGCAAAAAATAATTGGGAATGCTGTTTTTAAGTTGTTTGTATGACTCCTGTCTGTCTGTCTCTCTGTCTGTCTATCTTACCTTTTATGAGCATGGTTGTAAATATGATGCCTTTGTGATGCAAGGTCTTTATACAAATACATCATCATAATACAGTCGTACCTTGGAAGTCGAACAAAATCTGTTCCGGAAGTCCGTTCGACTTCCAAAATGTTCAGAAACCAAAGCGCGGCTTCTGATTGGCTGCAGGAAGCTCCTGCAGCCAATTGGAAGCCACATCAAATGTTCAACTTCCCAAAAAAGTTTGAAAACCAGAACACTCACTTCTGGGTTTCAATCGTTCAAGAGCTGAAACGTACGAGTACCAAGGCATTCAACAACCAAGGTACGACTGTAATAATAATACTAGGACAAATCAAGAAAAAATTACAACAGTTAATTTAAGACATACAACAGTTAAAATGCTAAGATAGATTAACATTACTTTCTAACGTGAGTCATCTTTTTTTTATAAAAAAAATGGATGCCTTTCTTTTGTCGGAACTTCTGTTTAATTCATATGCAAATATATGCAGATTTAATCAGTTAATTAAGTGGTTAAAGTTCACATGACTAACCCATTATGTTTGCTTTCATCAGGTGGCAACCTTACTAATGGCAACATACAATAAAGACACAAAGCCATTAGTGGGCAAAAATGCACCTAACAGCAACAAGGAAACATGTAAGGTTTACGGCAAGCGTAAGTATAATAAAAGTGCACTCCAGAGCAATATCTGTGCTGCAGATATTGCAAAGGTGTTGAATGAACTCTAGCTAAGTGGTAGCTGGTATCCAGGCTGGGCTTACAGGAAACCATTTATTTTCATAACAATTAGTGTGGCTGTGCAAGAAAGTAACTGTAGAGTTTAAATAGTCTAAAATTAATGACACTTTGGGCCGTACTGAATGGTGTTGTTACCTGAACAGTGCTAGACTCAGTAATACTTAACTTTCATCCTTGTAACTATTCTATTAATAGCCATCAATCTTAGATAAGTATCTGGCCTTTGCAATGAAAACCACGAAGATAAATTTATATCCACGACTCTCAGGAGAGCTAAAAGCAGAACCAAATCTTGTTTAGAGAAGTGAAATGAAAAGAGCCAAAAGGTTTGTTCACTCTTATGGCTTACTTTGGAGAAAGAGGTTCACCACCCAGATGCTTGCTAGTAATTGATTCTTTATCAGCAGCAACACACGCCTCATTAATTGTGAAAATTAATTTGCAGTATCTGGTTTCCTAGGGTAATTCTACAGGGATTGCGACAAAGGAACATTTTTGAGGATCTTTCTAGGTCATCAAACTGGGCATAGAAAGGCTTTGATGGGGGTGCAGGGGCTCTCTTCCAGTGCACCTCCCCTGAAACTTCGTAAATCACCATAAAAATGCCAAGGGGAAGAGTTGGTGCAGAAAGGCATGGTCTTGTTTCAAAAAGTCTTTCCTGAATATGATGGACAAGTTTCTGACAGTCTTGGCTGAAAATATGCAAGCTTCAACAGGGCACAATGGAAGAGCAAAGTGTTATGACCTTAGAGCCAGCTTCAGTGCTGTCAATTAGTTCTGGCATTTCTTAAATCAAAGAACAGCTCCTTGGCTTCAGTAGGACTATAGGCTGGAGAATGTTGGCCGAAGTGACTCGTGCACTGGGACTGCACATAATGCTAAATCAGAGATTGTGACATCGGCTGGTTGGAGAGGGGGGAAGAGATGCTGGAAGCTGAGGAGGTAACAGGGCTAAGTGAACTGGGAGAGTCTGTGGCAGAGAGGTCCAGAATCAGAGGCAGGAAATTGGGTGGTGAGAGGCCAAGAAGCAGAGATGAGTCAGTATGGTAAAGACTTGCAAGTATCTCCCCCTCCTGCTGTGACAAGATTCCCTTCCCGCTTGTCTCCCAGAACCAGAGGAGGCATGGAAAGGGTGGGAAAGAGATCAGCATTGCACAGGCACAGCCTCCAATTGCTTGGGGGGGAAACCCTGGAGGGGAGTGGACATAGGCAGTAATAATAATAATAATAATAATAATAATAATAATAATAATTTATTATTTATACCCCGCCCATCTGGCTGGGTCCCCCCTGCCACTCTGGGCGGCTTCCAACAGAATATTAAAATACAATAACCTATTAAACATTAAAAGCAGTTCGAAAGCACGCTGAAGTGCAAGTAGATAAATAGGTACCGCTCCGGCGGGAAGGTAAACGGTGTTTCCGTGTGCTGCTCTGGTTCGCCAGAAGTGGCTTAGTCATGCTGGCCACATGACCCGGAAGCTGTACGCCGGCTCCCTCGGCCAGTAAAGCGAGATGAGCGCCGCAACCCCAGACTCGGTCACGACTGGACCTAATGGTCAGGGGTCCCTTTACCTTTACCTTTAAGCAAGGCTGCCTTTAGATGTCTTCTAAACGTTTGGTAGTTATTTTTCTCTTTGACATCTGGTGGGAGGGCGTTCCACAGGGCGGGTGCCACTACCGAGAAGGCCCTCTGCCTGGTTCCCTGTAACTTGGCTTCTCGCAGCAAGGGAACCACCAGAAGGCCCTCAGCGCTGGAGCTCAATAAAGGGCAGAACAATGGAGGTGGAGACTCTCCTTCGGGTATACTGGACCAAGGCTGTTTAGGGCTTTAAAGGTCAGCACCAACACTTTGAATTGTGCTCGGAGCCAGTGTAGGTCTTTCTAGACCAGTGTTATTTGTGGGGAGATGGGGACCTTCAGCCTCAGCAACTGCTTCATGGGGGCAAGACTTCCAGATACGAGTTGTTGTGCTCAGTAGGCCTGACAAACCCTGTGCAGATCCTGTTGTTGCAAATAAAGAGCTGACTCCAACTTGCATGGTGTAATTTACTGTTGGCTCATTCCTGACAGATGAGGAACTGCTGGGCTTCTGAATATTGTTAGACTTCAACTCCCATTGGCCATTGGTAAGAGATGGCAGGAGTTGAATCCAACTGTTCTCCAGCCCTGTAGTGTAGCATGGGTCACAAACTGAATAGTGTGATCATCTTCCATATCAGCATTCCCCAACCAACCTGACACCCTCCAGATGTGGGACGCGGGTGGCGCTGTGGTCTAAACCACTGAGCCTCTTGGGCTTGCCAATCAGAAGGTCAGCGGTTCAAATCCCTGTGATGGGGTGAGCTTCCCATTGCTCTGTCCCAGCTCCTGCCAACCTAGCAGTTCAAAAGCACACCAGTGCAATTAGATAAATAGGTACCACTGCAGTGAGAAGGTAAACGGTATATCCATGCGCTCTGGTTTCTGTCACAGTGTTCTGTGGTGCCAGAAGTGGTTTAGTCATGCTGGCCACATGACCTGGAAAGCTGTTTGTGGACAAACGCCGGCTCCCTCGGCCTGAAAGCGAGATGAGCACTGCAACCCCATAGTCGCCTTTGACTGGACTTAACCATCCAGGGGTCCTTTACCTTTGCCTTTACCTCCAGATGTTTTGAGCTATAACTCCCATCAGCCCCAGCTAGGGATAATGGAAGCTGCATCCATAACATCTAGAGGGACTTGTGATGGGGAAAGATGTTATATTACCCATTGTCTGGGTTTGTTGTGGAAGCAAGATTTAAACTGAATTAGCAGTGCACTCTCCTCCTCAGACTCCAGATTCCTTCTACCTCTCTACCTTTCAGTAGAGGGAAACTGGTTACAGACTTGTAATAATAGCTCTGCCAGGGAGCTGTATATATAACCTCATTAAAAAAATGTGTGTGGTTATCAAGGCATCAGAAGAAAAAAAATCACTCTGCAAATGTGAAGTATGCTTATGGCTAAGCATTATTATCATAATAACACAAGAGCCAACTGGATCAGGCCCAGCATCCTGTTCTCACAATGGCCAACCAGATGCCTCCTACCTGGTAACTATGCCTCCGGGTATAGGGCAGTATAAGTAAAGGTAAAGGGACCCCTGACCATTAGGTCCAGTCATGGCCGACTCTGGGGTTGCGGCGCTCATTTCACTTTAGTGACCCAGGGAGCCGGCGTACAGCTTCCGGGTCATGTGGCCAGCATGACTAAGCCGCTTCTGGCGAACCAGAGCAGCACACGGAAACGCCGTTTACCTTCCCCCTGGAGTGGTACCTATTTATCTACTTGCACTTTGACGTGCTTTAGAACTGCTAGGTGGACAGGAGCAGGGACCGAGCTCACCCCGTTGCAAGGATTCGAACTGCTGCCCTTCTGATTGGCAAGTCCTAGGCTCTGTGGTTTAACCCACAGCTCCCCCGCGTCCCTATAGGGCAGTATATAACGTCATTAAATAATAATAAAATAATATTAAAAACTAGAGAAACATAAAACCAGCAATGATGGAATCTATACCATGTCTTGCACTTGAAATGGCTTCAAGGCAACACAGAACAATAAAACAAATCCTAAGTTAATTGCCACCCAAATAGAAAGAAAAAGGATAAAAACTGCAAATTGAATGACCAGCAAATGTTCTCAACCATCACTAAAAGAATTGGAGACCATTTGTTGTCTCCAAGCATGAATGATGCACTTTTAAAAATGTACTGGGCGAGAGGAGTCAGATGATAACCCCTCCCCCCAGCCCTGCTCTTTATTTTGTTTCCAATCCGTAATCAATAGATTTATTTTGGCAGCATGCAATGGGAAAGGATGCAGAGCTCATTTCACGTCACATTCATTGAACTGGAACTGTTTATAAAACATTGATTCTAACATGCTATGAGATGTGAGCTGACCAAACAAATTAGTCCAGCTTCTGGAGCTTGATAGAGCCAACCAGTCCATTGACAAGAGCTGCACGGAGTTCTGCATAACTCAAGGCCTGCAAGGCAGAACACAGCCCATTACCGATCATGTCATAATAGCTCACCAGGGACACTATCAACCTCATGTTTTCGTTTCTTGCTTGGGACTGCAAGCCAAAGGAGGAGTGGGAGATTTTAAACACCTAGCAGATTGCAACAAATGACATGGGTGGGCTGCATTAGTTCCTGTTGCCAGATCAGTTCCCAAGACAACCAGACTAAAAGTGGGCATCCTTCATTTTGGTCCTTCTAGAACAGGCTTCCTCAACCTTGTCCTTCCAGTTGTTTTTGGCCTACAACTCCCATGATCCCTAGCTAGCAGGACCAGTGGTCAGGGATGATGGGAACTGTAGTCTCAAAACATCTGGAGGGCCGAGGTTGAGGAAGCCTGTTCTAGAACAAAGAATCTGTACCCCTCCAGAAGCCCCATCAGCCCCAGTCAGCATGGCCAATGGTCAGAGATGATGGAGTCTTGGCAACATCTGGAGCAACACAAGGTCTCAACCCCTGCTTTAGAACTTCTGAAGGAAATACCAGCCCACAGCTTTTAAAAAGTGGCAGAAAGCTCAGTGTTACATGGTGGGATAGTGGGAATTTTGGGGGTGCATCAGTTCTATGTGGGGGATAAATAATGACCTAAATCAGAATTATTCAGGGATCTTTTTTCCCACTCCAGAGTTGATGTGTGATTTTAATACCTCCCCCTCTTAAGTGGGCCAGGGCCGACACAAAGCCTTGTGTCATTTCCATGCTTTTCTGAACCACATGGCTGGTTGATTTGATTTTTCTTTTAAATTTGTTATATTTCTATGCTACTTTTCGTTCAAATGAATCCCAAAGCATCTTACGAACAATAAATAACAACATAGAGCATTGCAAGTACAGCATAAATCGTATAAAATAATTAAGAAACCTTCAGTAAAATCATCTGTAAAGCACTAATAAAGCAGCAATTGCAGAAAAAGTTGTGTTATTGACAAATCATTACAGCATTTATAATCTATAAAACAATATTAACAAAATAGGAACCAAAAAAACCCCCAAAAACCCACAAGCTAAGCACTGTGAAGTTCATACACACTTTCCATGTTCCCATGACTCATAATATTATATTTCACTCTATTCAGTTCATTAAAATATACACAATGCTTGTTGCTCAGCCAGCTCAGCCATGAGATCCTAGAGTGGTGTGCAAAATAACAAATTAAAACAGAAAGCCATACCAAACAGCACAATCAGGTTAGAGATTAAAACAAACAACATTCACTTCAAAATATATACCACCAGGGGTGCCAGCTTGAATAAAACATTGGGGGGCTGGCCCCATACAATATTTTATTGGGGGGGGTGAAGACTTTCGGCCCCTAGGAGTTGGTTCCTATGTATACTGCCACTCCAGCAATTTAGGAATAGACAGAAAATTGCAGACAGAATAGACAGAAAAACACCACGTTGAAAATATACATCTTAAGCTGACACCAAAAAACCACTAACCAGAGAGACCTGGACCTCCAAAGTGGGGTGGGCAAGATCCGTAACCAGGGCACCACCACCACTGAAATCGCCCATCCTATGACACTGCAACCATGGGTTACCCCTATTGGTGGAACCATGAAAAAAGACCTCTGTTGCAAATCTCAAGGTCCAGACCAGCAGAGGTTGTCCTTTAAGGCTTTGGTTCCCTAAGTCATTCGGGGCATTATATGTAGAAGTCAACACCTTGAACTGAGCCCAGTATGAACGGGCAAGCCAGTGCCATTTGGACCCCACCATTTGCAAAGGAAGCTTCTTATGTATTTGAAAACATGAACAAAGGAAAGCCTTTATCTGGACCGTGGTTTCTGGCTCTCCTCCCAGGACAAAGCAAATTAAAGAGATAATGATTCACCATCTTTGTGTAAACAAAGCATCAGCTTTTGTGGAAACATTTGCATGCTTCCCAACAGTTATCAGATAGAAAATAGATACACTTCTGATGAAGTAGGCTGCACACTGGCTCAGCTCAGATACTGTAGCAATTCCAAACAATGGGCTTGTATCCAAAGCAGAGCTAAGTCACTCGCCCCATTGTTAGTGCAAGGACTTCTGCTTCCGCAATGGAGCTCCCCAGCTCTCCTCCCCCACTGCACACCCGCTAAACCCAGAGCACATTTGGGATGGGAAAGGGCATGAGGAGAAAGGGGACTTCTGTTGCATGCATGGTTAAGAAAACTTAACTATGGTTTGGGGCAATGTGTGAACTGAAAGATGTAGCTAACCAGATGCTGTCTAGGTTTGTCATTGCTTTAAAAGCAGAGACATCACCTTGCCAACAAAGGTCCATATAGTTAAAGTTATGGTTTTCCCAGTAGTGATGTAAGGAAGTAAGAGCTGGACCATAAGAAGGCTGGTCGCGGAAGAATTGATGCTTTTGAATTATGGTGTTGGAGGAGACTCTTGAGAGTCCCATGGACTGCAAGAAGATCAAACCTCTCCATTCTGAAGGAAATCAGCCCTGAGTGCTCACTGGAAGGACAGATCCTGAAGCTGAGGCTCCAATATTTTGGCCACCTCATGAGAAGAGAAGACTCCCTGGAAAAGACCCTGATGTTGGGAAAGATGGAGGGCACAAGGAGAAGGGGACGACAGAGGACGAGATGGTTGGACAGTGTTCTCGAAGCTACCAGCATGAGTTTGACCAAACTGCGGGAGGCAGTGGAACATGACTAAACCACTAAACAACAACAACAAGCTAACCAGAATTGGAAATCGGGGTTGTCAGTGGCCTGTACCAAGTTTTATTGTCTGAAATTTAAGGCAGGTGCACTGCCTCTGGAAGATATTGAGTCTAGAATCTACAGCACCAAGGAAATGGGAAATGGAAACAGACAACCAGCCTTCAACCATAGTTGGTATGTACATGTTATGCATTGAGTTGAATAGGATCCAAAATGCAGCAGTCTGTTTGGTCCTAGAACAATAGGATCCAAAATGCAGCAGTCTGATTGGTCCGCAGGAGCCACCCAATCCAGCTCCAGGTGGAAGTGAATCCGCAACCTGATTGGCCTACAGGAGAATCCTGGAATTAGCCAATGACGTGGGGCCCATTGTGTAAATAATGTACCGTATATAAAGCAGACATTTTGGGGGGAACTGGCATTCCTCACTACTATGAGCTGAATAAAGAGCATGAAATCCACACTCGAGTATATTTCAGTACATTTGGAAGCTCCATGGTTTGTGTGCCATAGTTCGCAGAAACCATGGTTTGTGTTATGTTCAAATAATGCTACTGTGGAGTGGATTAGGATAACGGCAGAAGCAGCAGCAACAACAAAAAAAATTATTATTTGTACCCTGCCCATCTGACTGGGTTGCACCAGGCACTCTTAGAGGCTTCCAGCATACATAAAAACATTAAGCATGTAAAAAATTCCCTATACGGGGCTGCCTTCAGAGGTCTTCTAAAGGTTGTATAGTTACTTATCTCCTTGGCATCTGATGGTAGGGCATTCCACAGGGTGGGTGCCACTACCGAGAAGGCCCTCTGCCTGGCTCCCTGTAACCTCACTTCTCCTGGTGAGGGAACTGCCAGAAGGCCCTCGGAGCTGGACCTCAGTGTCCGGGCTGAACGATGGGGGTGGATGAAAGTAAGCAGAATGAGTAAGTTGGGTGTGTTTGTCTTCCTGTTTCTATATTATTTCACATTCTGGTATATATTAGGGTCATTACCTATTTTAGCAGAAACCTCCTTCCCTTTAGCCTACATGCAAAAAACCACTAGAGCTATCTCAGAAATCTATGCTCTCCACCCTGTGAATTGGACCTTTTTGGCCTTCCCTTCTGCCTCTGGTATTTAGCATGCAAGAAGCAGAGCAGTGAAAATGGAGTCCTGATGTATTTTGCATATGTTACGGGTCTAGGACCTCCATGCTCTGGTGCTCGATTATGATGTCACTGCCGAGTGCTAGAATTCAGAAGTCTCTGTGCAGGTCCGGCGTACATATGAAAATCCAGGCATTTTTTGAGCCCAGCAGGCTGGGAAACCAGCACAAAAGCAGTGATCACTGACCAATGCCAACCTATGAACAAGCCCTTTGATAAAGAATCTTAAGAATTGTTCAAAGAGAGAATTTCAGTAATTCACCAGCAGAATATATAATTGGAGCTCATGTCTAGTATGGAGAGCACACCAAGAAACAGTATGTAGAGTTCAAAAAGGAAATGCTCAAAAGCCATAGCTGGAGGCCGTGCAAATACTCTGATATCTCCTTCCTTTAAAAACCACAACGTCTGCCTTTCAAGCAACACCTAAACCATGGGTAGGCAAACTAAGACCTGGGGGCTGGATCCGGCCCAATCACCTTCTAAATCTGGCTCACGGACGGTGTGGGAATCTGTGTGTTTTTACATGAGTAGAATGTGTGCTTTTATTTAAAATGCATCTCTGGGTTATTTGTGGGGCATAGGAATTCGTTCATTCCCCCTCCCCCATATAGTCTGGCCCCCCACAAGGTCTGAGGGACAGTGGACCGGTCCCCTGGCTGAAAACGTTTGCTGACCCCTGGTTTAAAACTATCTGTGCAACTCCACCGGCAAGAGACTGGCCACGAAATGAGAAAAAAAAGGTCCCCTGAGCCTTGTAAATTGCAAGACGGCCCAAATATTTACGTCACAGATATTACCAAAGTGTCTGACAAAGAACGTTTGCATACAAAAGCCAAATACACTTCCCACTGCCAGCTAAACACTTTCCTCCAATTCTTCCCAGGAACAATATCAGTGAAAAACAAAACAGACTTGTTGGTTGGTTGATTGGTTGAATGGGGAGAGAACAATTATTGACGTGCAAAGCTTTTCTGCCAAATGTCTTTGAACCTTCGTGACTTTTTTTTTTTACTCTTTCCATTTCAATTGCTTGTGAGAGATTGTGCTCAATGCATTTTGGTCTATCAACCTGACGTGACCAATTGCAGGGCTGACTCACTTGGCAAATGAAAATTAGACTTTCACTCTTCGTTGTAGGAGTTGGGTTGCCTGTGCCTTTCAGTATACAAGGGTTGTGTATGCCCTCTCTAGTCCCTCAGCTTCTTTCTTGTTTCCTATTTGTTATTGAGATCCAGTGTGGTGTAGTGGTTCGAGTGCCGGACTAAGACCTGGGAGACCAGGGTTCAAATCCCCACTGAGGCATGGAGCACTTGGAGGCAGTCGCTGCCTCTCAGCCTAACCTACCTCACAAGGTTGTTGTGAGAATAAAACGAGGAGGTAAAGAAACACATTGCCACCTGTCAGGGAACTGCCATCAGTGCCGGAGGGAGAGAGAGAGCTCCAGAGGGATCCCAGAGAGCGTCACGGGATTGGGAGAGGCAGCCCATCTTCTAGGGAAGGGAATCAGCCCAGCTCCAGTAGAGAAGGGTGGCAGATGGGGGAATCTGAGAGGGAGTCACAGGACTCCTTGCCTGGGACCAGCGGGGGGAGGAAGGGTCCTCCGCTGCCTATGCCTTCCTTGCGCAGAAGGCTTCCACGCAGGGAAAGTAGGAGGCGACTGGGCGTGAAACTTCTTTGCTGGAAGAAGTTTAAGAAACGCCCACTGATGGATTCTGCCAGCGATTGAGACAGCCACGGGTGAGTGGCTGTCCGGACAGAAAAGGTTCACTTAGGCAACCCAGCCAGGTGTGGGCACCGGCTTACACATGAGCAACCCTTTGAACCACAACACCACCTTGGAGGGATCCTTGGATCTAGCCTTGTTCAGGGGCATTGCTCCTGTCAAAGTGCTTTTCCCTGGCTGGTACATGTCCTTGAACTGATAATACCCTCTTGCATGGCTGGCTGTAGAAACATCCGTGTGCATGGAAGTGCACCGAAACCTCTGGCTTTTGCAAGCTAGTTTATAACCTACTCTAAGAGCCTCCATCCTTGGGCTAAAGATAGTTGCCTGCCACTGAGTTAAAGGAGCACGACTGGAACATAACCAGTGACCACCAAAGTTGGATGAGAGGCTATCAAATCCACCACTGGTTTGTAATAAATGGACTTGACCCCAGACTTCTGGGTGGTGAGGTTAAATGGGGAAATTGATGTTTCGATGTGAATGATTTTTGGACTAGGGGGAGGTGAGGTTTTGGATTTGTTAATGAGTGGGTCTGAGAATTGCTTTGTTTATTATTTGAGTATTTTTTTAAGGGTGTTATGTTCTATGCAGTGTTTTTCTTCTAGAAAAGGAGGTGCCAGTATTCACCATAAAGTTGTTACAGTAAGTGCTACACTTTTAACCAGTGCTTTTCTTTTAGGGGAAAAAGGTGCCCGTACTGCGTACTCTTGAATATCCCCAGGAAAAAGCACTGGTTATATAAAATGTTGTTGTTGTTGTTTAGTCGTTTAGTCGTGTCCAATTCTTTGTGACCCCATGGACCAGAGCACAGTGTATTGTATAACACACACACACCGACCCCCCCCCCCATGGTAATATGTATCTCTTTTTTTTGCTGTAAATTGCTTGTAGACCTTTGGGTGACAAGTGGATAATAATATCACCAGTGTTGAAGCAATGATTCTTCAACATCAGCTTCGTTGGACTGGTCATGTTGTGTGGATGCCTGATTATCGTCTTCCAAAGCAACTACTCTATTCCAAACTTAAAAATGGGAAGCGTAATGCTGGTGGTCAACAAAAGAGGTTTAAAGACTTTCTCAAGGCAAATGTTTAAAAATGTAGCATAAACACCTGACAACTGGGAAACACTGGCCTGAGAGTGCTCCAATTGAAGAACAGCCTTTACCAAAGGTGCCATGGTCTTTGAAGACGCTTGAACTCAGGACGAAAAGAAGAAACATGCTAAGAGGAAGGAAACCCTCACCATGATCAACTCCCACCCGGAAACCCATGTCCCCACTGTGAAAGGACGTGTGGATCCAGAATTGGCCTCCACAGTCACTGTTAAAACTGTGTTTATGGAAGACAATCTTACTTGGCTATGAGTCATCGCCGAAGAAGAAGAAGAAGAAGAAGAAGAAGAAGAAGTTTAGTAAATGAAAATGAAACTGACTGCAAGCACAAATGCACCAACCATATGCACACCTTACAATTAAAGTTCATCCAATGCACATGTGCTTTAAATGGGTATTGTATGGCATGGACCTGCCCCTTGAGGTCTATGGGGAAGGGGATCATTGGGAAGAGAGATCAAAGGTGGGTGTCTACCATCCATCCTTCCTTCCTTCCTCCCCAGGAGGCCTTTTCGAAACATTAGCCATAAATTTTGTTCCCAGTGCCAAGGGGTGGAAAAAAAATATTCCTTTAAAAAACACACAATCACACTGCCAAATGGACACGGCATTTTCTTCCCAAGATAAGGGTATATAATGTTTCCGTTGCCAGGCACAAACATCTGTTGGCATTCCAAGGGGCTCGTTTTGCATCTCTGGGAGAGATGGACATTTTGTCAAACCAGATCTCATACCCTTGAGAAACAGCAGCATTGCACAGCAGCTGTCGCAGAGGGATACGTTTCTTCGGAAACTGCAAATCCTTCAAAAGCATACTTTTCAGCTTTGATTGTATTTTAAAGAAAAAAAGGGGTGGAGGAAAGGTCACCCCACAAAAGCTGCCTTGCTCACCCTGTCCCATGCTATTTCCTTTTTCTGACCTATCCAGGCTAGCATTAGAGATGCCTGGCAATGCAGTTCTGGTTGGGTCCTAGAAGGAATCCCATAATAACCCAATCTCTTTTATATCCTGCCTTTCAGACCAACTTAGTGACTGACCCTGGGTGGAATTCAGAATTCGCCTTATGTGAAAAGAAGGTACTTCCATGCATGTAAAGGGCAGGAGGTCCTTAACTCCTACATGTTTCCTCCTCCAGATGCAGCCAATGCCCATTCCAGATTCCACACCATTCTGGAAGCACCCCTGACCTTTAGGAGTAGCTCAGAGAGGGATATGCAAAGGGCAGCTCCATCCTTTTAAAGTGGACTCTGGACTCAAGCTTTCCTCCTTTCAGAGTTCCAAAAGAATGGCGATAGCTCTTGAAATTTGCTCAGTTGGATAGGACAAGGTCTAGCCATTCCTGCCTTTCAATTCCAAAAGCAGCCAGCCAGATCAACCAAGACATGAAAATACAGTCATACTTTGGATCTCGAACACCCTGGAACTTGGATGTTTTTGCTACTGAACGCCACAAACCCAGAAGTGATTGTTCCAGTTTGCGAATGTTCTTTTGGAACCTGAGCGTCTGATGGGGCTTCCGCTGCTTCCAATTGGCTGCAAGAGCTTCCTGCAGCCAATCAGAAGCCACAATTTGGTTTTCGAACATTTTGGAAGTTGAACGGACTTCTGGAATATATTCTGTTCAACTTCCAAGGTACAACTGTAATGGCAATCTGTTCCCCAACATCAGGAAAGAAGTGAAATGAAGGGATTCACATGAATAATTTGTTTATCACCTACATGTTGTCCATAGAACATAGCATCTCCTCATGTGACTCTTGAACTCTTTCAAAAGTGGCAGAGAGCAAGTTCCATTCATTCTCAGGTCACAGGCACAAAGTGGCATGTTTGTGGGAAATAGCTTGGGTTTTTGTCAGGTATACTGAAGGGAGGGGGGCAGGCTTGTAGTAGGAGCCCTGCAAGAGAACTGTATATAACCTTGGGTGGATCTAGACACAGGAAAACCCCCCACTATAAATAAGTCAAAAATTAGATCGTTGTGACAAAAGAAAGAAATCCCTATGAATAATTACATTTTAAAATTTACTGCTCTCTGGTGCCATCTGGTGTTGTGTGTTTATAGTGCATTCAAATAGCTGTTTCTTTACTAATGTAGCTGAGTCCGTTGTTAATAAACCAATTAAGTTTCAAACCGCTCTGTGGTGTTTCAATTGCATACTCCAGGATCAACAGAAAATATCTTGGGAACACCCAGGTCTGGAGAGGAAAGGCACACATACCCTCAAACATTTCTCTGAGGAAAATAGGGGCGTCCTATTCAACAACAACAATTTTATTATTTATACCCTGGCCATTTGGCTGGGTTGCCCCAGTCACTCTGGGCAGCTTCCAGCATATATTAAGAACATAATAAAACATTAAACATTAAAAAGCTTCCCTATACAGCGTTGCCTTCAGATGTCTTCTAAAAGTTGTAAAGTTACTTATCCCCTTGGCTTGGGGGTTGCATAACTCCATAACCTCCAACATTTCTCCAATGAAAATAGGGCCATCCTAAGGAAAAGTGGGACATTTTGGGATCAAATTAAAAATCGGGACAGCTTCTGTAAATCTGGGACTGTCCCTGGAAAGCAGGGACACTTGGAGGGTCTGAGACAGATTATGGAACTGAGAAATGACATGAAATTAGATGTCCGTATAAGCTTAAAATGTTTTGTGGGTAAACAGAGGTCACGCAAAAAGCAGTTTTTTCTTCACTTTAATACTTGTGTGCATTAGGAATCCTGCCAGAGGCCTGAAGACAACTGATCTCACATACATGGAAGAAGAAACAAGAAGTTGTGGTCTAATGCACACATACGCCCTGGGCTGGGGCAGAATGAATAAGTCAGTTTACAGTTGCTGCTGCAAAGTTGCCTAAAGCAAGATTCAAAATGAGTTTGGGGATTCCCCGCATTGGCAAAACATTGCATGAATTGAGAGGGAAGTCAGAGGATTTCCAGCAAGGCTAGTAAAATATGTCAGAGGAGTGATGCGGAGTTCCTTTACCAACACTATTTGTGCTATTCCATAAGAAAAGTTTCTCTGGGCAGCTTATGGTAAATAAGGAAGAAACATTTTTAAAACTACAAAATAAATATGTAAAACCACAAAATGAACAGAAACATAGATACAGCAAAAACAAAACTTATGGCACACCCCAAATTCAAAGCAGATTTAAAACTGATAGGCCCAATCCACCATTTCCTCCAGTTCCTTTATTCAACAGTGGCACTCAGTTCTGATAGGCCCAATCCACCATTTCCTCCAGTTCCTTTATTCAACAGTGGCACTCCGTTCCAGTGCAGCCAATCCTTTGCTACTACCACCCCTATTATGAAAGGACTTCTGGTGGGATGAGGGTAGTTGAGGGAGATTTTCGACAGGGCAAGCAACATTTTCCGGGAGTGTTCGCATTCCGACCCTTACAAAATAAGGTGGACGCTAGTCAGGAGGTATAAACCTCCCTCTCTCTCTCTCTCTGTTTGGGATGGGTGGAGAAGATATGGCTTGCACCATTCACAATGACATTGTAGTTAAGGTCAAGCTGATGACAGATGCACATTGCCAGCTCCCATTGTGCATGACTAGCAGAGATCATGAGAACGGATAGCGATTCCTCTGAAGCCTTAGGCATGTTTCCACTGGAGGCTTGCTCCAACAATGACCCTTTTTAAGCAGCTCAACTTGCTACTACAATCAGGGGCGGAGGAAGGAAGGTGTGGTGGGTGCAGGCCGCCCCGGGTGTCACCACTGTGGGGGGTGACAAAATGCCGGGTGGCACTCACTGCAGGGCCTGCAGCATGCCCAAGCCACATGTCTCTCCTGGGAGACATGCGGTAGCTCGGGCACGCGCAGGCTCCATGCTGCCCAAACCCCTCAGCTGTAGGGCGGCTGAGTGGGAGGAGGAAGGCAGACTCTGGAGGCCCAACGTCGTGCTCCGCCCCTATGGGCAGCTCCCTCTGCCCTCGCGCTGTCCCCAAGCGCCCAAGCAGCTTCTTCCGCTGCTGAATACAGTTAGAATTGGGGAGGGGAAACCTGTGTAAAGAGGTTTTTCAACACTTTGGGTGTGTGGGGATCCTGAGCCACGCCTTTTCTACCCGGGCTGTCGGTGGATAAGGAGCAGCAGGGGCCTTGTAACGCTGTTACCACTGCCAAAATGATTTCCAAACTTCATGTGACAATTTACTGAGAGAATAGGGAGGCTGCCGACATTAGAACCCGCTGGATTTGCCCAAGATTACATGCAGAGCTAGAATTGTAGCTGGTAGAAGAACAGAGTCTGCTCATGGCAGTTCAGGACTTATGGTGCAATATGGTGCATGATGTAGTAACCTTTCATGGGGCAGGAGACCTCCTGGGTACCTGCATGAATCATAGGATCATAGAATTGTAGAGTCTGAAAGGCCATGTAGTCCAACCCCCTGCAATGCCGTCTTGACTTCCATAATGGGGAAAAGGCAAAATATTAGTTAATTAATCAATTAATTAAAAAATCAAATATAGAACTAAATAGATTGAGAACCTGAAGGTTTCTTTTAATGGTACAGGTTGCTATAACCTTGCTGATACCAGATATAAGTGCTTTGTGTTTTATTAATAGTTTCATGTAAGTACCCAGAGGTTTTCAAACTTTTTGAGTCCATAGCTCCCTTAACCAACTACAGTCTTTCTCCTGCACCCCTGTGGGGCTCAGGAGCCCAGTTATGTCACCCCTTGCCTGCTGAGCTAGCAGCCCCTTACCCCTTTTCAAAACACCTTCCCTTGTGGAGTGTTCCTTCAACCTTCTCTCCTTTCCCCTCTCCTTGGGAGTCCTCCGGGCAGCTGCTACTGCCATCCTGGGTCTCTAAGCTGCTCCCCACCCCCACCCCAAGGAGAGTTGCCTCCCAGAGGCACCCTTCGCCTGCAGAGCTAATAGCCAGGGCTGCTGCAACAAACAGCTGTGCAAGCCTCTGGGAGGCAGAAACGTGAGAGGGAATCAGAAGGAAAGAGGGACAGAGGCCAATGTTGCCCTTGGCACCTAGGGTGCCACAGAACATTGGTTGAAAACCACTCCTTCAGAGTATGGTTTCTGGGAATCTCTCATTTTGCTGCTGCAAATTACAAAGAGTGTTTTTTTTACTGCATCCATTAGCCTCGTGACCATTGCCTCTCATGCACCATGATTATGTGAGTAATCCCAAACTCCTGGAGAGGGCAGCTACATGGCCATTGCATGGTGCGGATCTCCCCTGCTGAGAGCACAGAGTGAGGTCCACAGCCACAGGCTCTGCCACGGGTGCCGCACTGCTGCCAGTGTTCCATGGATTGGGTCTGTTGTGGGGAAAGGCCTTGGATCCACTAGATCAGGGGCCAGCAACCTTTTTCAGCTGTGGGCCGGTCCACCGTCCCTCAGGCCATGTGGTGGGCCGGACTATATTTTGAAGGGGAAAAATGAACGAATTCCTATGCCCCACAAATAACCCAGAGATGCATTTTAAATAAAAGGGCACATTCTACTCATGTAAAAACACGCTGATTCCCAGACTGTCTGATTGGGCCACATCCGGCCCCCGGGCCTTAGGTTGCCTACCCCTGCACTAGATTCAAAGCTCCACTCACTTCCCCCGACGTGTCCTCAGAAAGACCAGAAGGTATGTCAGCCTCAGAGCTGGCATTTCTTCCCTCTCATTAGTATAAAAAAATAAAAAGACTGAAAAATAAAAAGATTGAAAATCCACTCACTGGCCAGGCTTCTACCTGCCTAGTGCAGGCCAGTGAAGAGGTGGAATAGCTCAGTCAGTAAAGCATGAGACTCTTAATCTCGGGGGTTTAGCCTCACGCTGGGCAAAAGATTCCTGCAAAGCAGGGGGCTGGACTAGATGACCCTCATGGCCCCTTCCATCTCTAAAATGATATATGATTCTCCTTCCAAACCTGCTAGGAATGCTTTGCCCATCTCTTCATGCTCCACTCGCTATTGTCTGAGCTGAATTTCCCCACATGTGATTCAGTTTCCCCCCAACCAACCAAGTGACCTCACTCAAGGTTCTGCGCTTTCAATCTGAATGAAATAGAGACCTTTCATGAGTCACCTCCAGCTCCCACCTACCCACAGACAATTAGCCATGAGTATTAGTGATGCACAAGAGCATGAGAAACCTCAAGTGCCTCTGCGATTAGGTTGTTTGTTCAACTTATCTCACGAAGGCCTCTCCCTCAAGCGAGGTCGGGAATAACCCAACCCTGTGCTACTGCTAGGTGCACTTAACCACATTGATTTAATTGGGCTTGTGCATGGCTGAATTTGCAGAAGAGCCTTCCATTAGTTGTCGCCCAGCTGCAAGCGAAGTTTCAGAGCTAGCCAACTATTTTGTCTGGCAAGGCTCCTGAGCCTTTCACAGCTGAAGCGCAGTGGGAAATAGGGCATATGAAACTTTTGTTGTGTGGGAAATCTTTACATGCTGCAGAAATATTATTATTATTACTTGCATTTAAAGACACAGGAGCCTTGCCAGGAAAAAAAGTTGGCAGCCCCTTTTGCATTTCGCATTTCAGAGCGAGGCAGCCATGAAATATGCAACCTTCCAGCTGCAGTTTGCAAAGCTGGCCTCCAAGAAGGCATGATGCCAGAGTTTATTTCTTCATAGTTCAGTCTATGTTCATTGCATCCCTGCACATCCAAACACTTCCCCAGCTGCCCAAGAGCCAGTTCCCAAAGAATCAGGATCCTACTAGTTTTAGAGGCCCCAGCTGACGGCGATGACAGTTTCGACATATTACCTGCCCTTCATCATAAGGGTGGGTGACAACAATTTGAAATACAACTCTAAAACCATTTCAAATATTACAGTTCCCCAAATAGGGTGTTGCCTGTGGTCAAGACAATGTCGCGTGTTCCCAAGTCTTTTTTCTCCCTTGTGAATCATCTGAAGACACCGACTAGGACCAAAAGGGTGCATAGCTCTATCTACTGGAAGACACAAGGGTGAGCAATGGGGCCAAGAACTAATCAATCAGCTGCGGGCTGCATTTAGCTCCAAGGCTGCCAGTTGCCTATCAGTGGGCTTAGGCAACCACTTAAGGCCGGGCCCACACCCACGCACATGCGGTGTGTGTGTGTGTGTGTGTACGAGCCCGGTGCCCTCAAATGCTCCACAAGGGTCGTGTGAACGTGCCCTCCGGCTGCCAGCTGCAGTTCCCACGACTTCTCCAGCGCAACCACCCTGGGGCTCTCCACGTCCCACAAACGGGGCGGGGCTTCATTTCATTGCAACATGCAGCACCACGTCGCTCCACAAGGCCGATCGGTGGCCGAGGAGAGCCGGCTACCCGGCTTCTCCAAACCAGCGGAGGGCGGGGGAAGCAGCAGCCCGCGGCTTCCTGTGCGTGTCGGCGAGCAGCCGCAGAAGCGGAGCGCACAGGTGGATGACCGAACATAACCCCGGGCGGCAGACGCTAGAGACCCGCGAGCGCGCCTCCCCCGCGCCCCTCCCTCCTCCGAGTCGCCGCAATTCAATTAAGCGCCTAACCTGCCCCCGCCCTCGAGAACCCCTCCCTCCAGCCACATCCCTCTCTCTTTCTCTCCCGCATCGCCAAGCGTTTCCCACCGGCAGCTCCCAAAGGCAGGAAGGCAAGGCAGGGACCCCACCACCACCACCCCGTGGGGGATTGGAGGGGGTGCTGCTGCTGCGCGTCGCTTCCCACGCTCCCACGTGGGCTGGCAGCCGCAGTGAATCCGGATTGTCAGAACACCGGGGAGACCCAGCCTCTCCGGCCCCGCCGGAGCGCAGCCTTATCCCAGGGGCAGAGAGAGAGAGCCTGCCTTGCAAGTCCCACATTCAATATACAGTGGTACCTCAGGTTAAGTACTTAATTCGTTCCGTAGGTCCGTACTTAACCTGAAACTGTTCTTAACCTGAAGCACCACTTTAGCTAATGGGGCCTCCTGCTGCTGCCGAGCCACCGGAGCACAATTTCTGTTCTCATCCTGAAGCAAAGTTCTTAACCTGAAGCAATATTTCTGGGTTAGCGGAGTCTGTAACCTGAAGCGTCTGTAACCCGAGGTACCGCTGTACTCCTAGGGGCCAAGGGGTCTCCCCCCCTAAAATATTTGAGGGGGCCGGGCCCGTCCAAAATTCATGAGCACTGCCATTCATGCACCGCGTCATATGGTCGATTATGCGGGCGCGGCTTACTCCCCCCCCCCCCAATATTTTATCCAAGTTGGTACCCCTGGTTTGGTGAGACGCCTATCTGAGATGCTGGAGAACAGCTGCCAGTCCGTGTAGACGATACTGAGCTAAGATGGGCCAACGGTCTAACGCGGTATAAGGCAGCTTCCAATGTTTCTTAGAGGGCGCCCCTTTTGACGCACGTCTAGACTACTGCCTAATCGCCACTCAGGGCTGACCCTTCTCCATTTCCTTGCCAGTTTCGAAAGAGATTGAGGACCACCGCGATTGCTCTGACCCTCCCTATCAAAACCCATTCAGAACATTCTGTAGTTTTCTGATTTTTTTGAAAAAAAACACAAGAAAAAATCTTGATTGTTTTTGCAGCCCCGTCTTTCCAAACACAGTCCCTCACTCTGGGATAGCTCAGTCGATAAAGCAGGAGACTCTTAATCTCAGGGTTGTGGGTCCGAGCCCCACTCGAGCCGAAAGATTCCTGCATTGCAGAGGGTTGGACTAGAATCCTCGGGGTTCCTTCCAACTCTACAATTCAAAAATTTTATACCTGGTAGCCCATCTCGCCCCTTTCCCTCTTCCACAGTCAGGGAGCCCCCCCTCAGTAATTCCTCAGGGGTTTAAACTCCAAAGGCGATTCTCTCCCCCGCCCCCGCGCGCGCGCATTGGAAGGTGTTAAGAGCAGCAACACAAGGCAGCGTTTCTGAACATGTGCAGAGCGCATCTCCCTGAGACGCCAGAACCAGCCCTCATACCTCAAGAAATACAAAAGGGATTTTGTATTTCTTGTTTTTTTTTAAGGCACTGAAGAATGAAAGCGTCGCAGCTCCATTCAGGCAAACCGGGTTCCAAAATAACTCAGCCACCTGATCCGCCTCGCCCTCGCCAGAAATGTTCCGCCGCACAAAGAAAGACCGAGGAGATCGCTGGGTTTGCGAGGAAACCCCCGTCGCTTCCCCGGTTCATTCCCCTATTCACCACACATCTCAGCCCCCTCGCCAGCCCACAAGAGTTCCTTGGCTGATGCTGAATCATAAATCCAGGGCTTCTTGGTTGGGCTGGGCAGATGTGCGGCAGACGCGCGCGCCAGATCCCCACCCCACGGATCTGTCCTCTCCCCACCCCAGACACAACCCAAATTCCCCCATCAGGAGACAGTAGCTGATGCCCACAATACGACGTGACAAAGGAAAAGCTGGCGAGGTCCTCAGGCATCCTCTCCCCAGTCCATATAGACATTCATTCATGGTCTCTTTTTTTCCCTGGGTGGGGGGATTCCACTTCTCACGTGTGGATTTGGTCCCGATCATCGGAAACATGCACGCTTTTCTCTCCCTCTCTCTCAACCACCCTTTGCCTGCCTTCCCTCTGACTCCTACAACAACGGCTCCTCATCCGACCGTATTTGCCCCTCTCGGACTGGACATTTGTTAAACGCAGAGTCCACAGGGTGCGCGTGTGTTTATAGGGATCAGGATCACACCTCTGGTCCTTCTTGGAATCTAGCAGGAACACAAGCTAGCCAACATGCATTTTTTTTTTCTAAGCCCACTACTAAGAATATTACATATACAACATCGGAAATTGCCGCGCGCATTTCTCAATACCACCCGTTGCGTTCCCCATCCCGCATCCCGTCTACCTGGTCGGGTTTGGTGTGTGTGTGTTTTTGGCGGGGTGGGGACCCCGGAGATGCTGCTCCTCTCTCTTCCTTAATCAGTTCTTCATCTCTCTCTTTCTCCCCTCCCTTCCATTCAATCCCTCTTTAATCCCACCCACCTGGCATGACTGATGCTTCACCAAGCCAACCCAGGCGCCTCTGAGGTGGTGGCCTTATCTTAGCCGAGCCAATGGCGAAGAAGCCGGCACGTACCTTTGAACCGAAAGTGACAGCTCCTAGAGTACGTGTGTGGCTGCAGATAATAATAAGCGCGCCGGGGGAGGAAGGGCTTACAGAGGCGAGGCGGGGAGGGAATGAATCGGAGAACAGCCAAGACGAGGTGAAGACAAGCCACGCGCGGGGAGCAGATTCAGGCACAACATGAACTCGTGGAACTCCCTGCAACAAGATTAAGGTGGGAGGGCAGCAATGCATGGGCAGTAGATTCAGAGCAGGCACAAAATTAACTGGTGAAACTTCCTGCAATAAAGTTTAAGCCATCCATGGACAGTAGATTCAGGGCAGGGACAAAATTAACTTGTGGAACACCCTGCAGCAAGATTTGGTGCTGGTGTTGTTGTTTAGTCGTTTAGTCGTGTCTGACTCTTCGTGACTCCATGGACCAGAGCACGCCAGGCACTCCTGTCTTCCACTGCCTCCCGCAGTTTGGTCAAACTCCTGCTGGTAGCTTCAAGAACACTGTCCAACCATCTCGTCCTCTGTCGTCCCCTTCTCCTTGTGCCCTCCATCTTTCCCAACATCAGGGTCTTTTCCAGGAGTCTTCTCTTCTCATGAGGTGGCCAAAGTATTGGAGCCTCAGCTTCACGATCTGTCTTTCCAGTGAGCACTCAGGGCTGATTTCCTTCAGAATGGATAGGTTTGATCTTCTTGCAGTCCATGGGACTCTCAGGAGTCTCCTCCAGCACCAAAATTCAAAAGCATCAATTCTTCTGCGATCAGCCTTCTTTATGGTCCAGCTCTCACTTCCATACATCACTACTGGGAAAACCATAGCTTTAACTATACGGACCTTTATTGGCAAGGTGATGTCTCTGCTTTTTAAGATGCTGTCTAGGTTTGTCATTGCTTTTCTCCCAAGAAGCAGGCGTCTTTTAATTTCGTGACTGCTGTCACCAGTGCTGGTATCCTGCATTCATTACACTGAGTGTGCTGGCCCCATTGTTAAGTACCTAGCATTTGATACCCAGCCCTGATGTGCATGATGAGTCTGTTTGGTTCTTTACAGCCAGTGTGGAGTTGACCCACATCTCTAACCAGGCTATTGCTAGAGATGACTTTGAACGGGAGCCAGAATAAATGCGGGGACAGCTAAGAAATGCCTGTAGAAAAATAGAATTGTAGAGTTAGAAGGGACCTCAAGGGTCATCTAGTCCAACCCCTCAATTTTCCAGGGCAGTGGGCAACTGGACAACAGGGCGCTTTTGCTTTCTAGTTCTGCTTATGGGTTTCCCAGATCTATCTGACTGTCCGTCGTTGGAAACACGAGTCTTGTCTAGGTGGGGCTGATCCAGCTCAGCATATGTTCTTAACATATAATTCATACCATAGAATGTGGCGCTGGATGCAAGTTAAGATGGTATTTTTAAAAAAGAAAGGAAGACGAGAGCAGCATCAATATGAAGCAAAAATCAGAGGTTTGCACTGAAAGGTGGTAGAAAGCAGGGATGGAGAATCTATGTCCCTCCAGCTGCTGTTAGACTCCAATTCCCATCAGCATCAGATATCATGGTGAATGGTGAGGGATGGTGAAATATACTCAGAGTCGAGAGTGGATTTCATGCTCTTTATTCAGCTCATAGTGGTGAGGAGGAATGAAAGTTTCCCCAAAGTATCTGCTTTATATACATTATTTACACAATGGGCTGCACATGATTGGCTAATTCCGGACTTCTCCTGTAGGCCAATCAGGTTGTGGATTCACTTCCATCTGGAGCTGGATTGGGTGGCTCCTGCTGACCAATCATACTGCTGCATTGTTCTAGGACCAGTCAGACTGCTGCATTCTGAATCCTATTTTTCTAGGACCAATCAGACTGCTGCATTGTGGATCCTATTCAACTCAGTACATAACAGATGGATTCTGTACGGCTTTGGGCAGTGGTGTCTCTCCAGTCCTATGTGAAGAAACTGAGGATTGAACCCAGAACATCTTGCTCCACCCCAGAGCCACAGCCCTTCCTCTTTTCATTTTTGCTTGCGGGAATAATTAAGCAAATGGACGAGCATTTGCCATGACAACTAAAGGAAACTTCCATGTTCAGGACCAGTTCACCTTTGTATGAATGGGGGGGAAAATGGGGACAAGGAGATAGAAGCTGTCACCTTTCTGCTTTGCTTACCAGAAGCATCTGCATGGCTGGCGTTTCAGGAAACCTGAGTCTGAGCAAACTAAGCTTTTTTAAAAAAATAAAAAGTAAATAAATGAAGCTCTACCTAGTAGTGATCTCAAATGTTTGAATGTTGATACCTATGCTGGCTGTTTGGCCGTAATAATAAACATTCATTCATTCATTCATTCATTCATTCATTCAGTGTTCAGGCACTTCACACACTTTACAGTATCTCGGTTTACAGCAGTAGCCCTTAACATTGCGAGGCATTATATTTCTGTTGCAAATGGGGCAGAGGGAATAGTGCATTGTTCAGTGACACCTGGTGAGTTTAGTGACACCTGGTGACGCAAGTGGGATGTGTCACTTGGGGGCTTTGCAGTTCATAGCCGAGGTCCTCTTAGGACAAAACTGGAGATGAGGTGGAAAATCTGTGAGAGCATCTGTAGCTCCACCCCTGCCTCAATACACACAGCTGCTTGAGTCCTGTGTGTGTGTGTGTGTGTGTGTGTGTGTGTGTGTAAGACAGAGTGCAATTTGCAGCAGCGAAAGCGTAAGGCAGGGAACACTCAGCTCAATTAGACTGATGTTAAATATGCTTTTGCATTTAATGCACAAGGTTTGGCTTTTTTTAAAAAAGCAAATTGCTTTTGCTTGAGGTGGGGGTGAAATTTAATGGGACCATGGAGTGCATGGAGTTTAACCCTTTTGTCCCTTGCTGTGGTCCTGAGGGGAAAAACTGTAACCTGGAGCGAAATATTTGCATGAGGAGGAAATTCCCCATTGTGGGAGCCCTTTCTCCGCAAACGCCAACTGCATGAGAGGGATATTTCACAGGATCAAAGCAAGGAAGGAAAGGGTTAAATTCCCCCCCTCCATGCCTGCAAGCACCCCACCACACTTCATTTATAATTTTAATTTTAAAAAACCCTGCATGCTAGATGCAAAGGCTAGCTTAAAGCTCATGTCTAGCCTGGCAGTTGAACACCCGTCTCCTGGAGCACCACCTCTGAAACAGCCCCTTTGTGATTTATCTAATTAGTTAAAACACACACCCAGGGTAGCCTAATAGCTGACCCTCTACTTCAAATCTGCTGTGGCCCCGAGAAGCTCTGATATACTCACTGTTGTGCACAGCTAGAGCTGGACAGTGTTGATTGGTGCCCATTGGGACTGGTAGGGTAAAAGACAGGGAGGCTGTGTAGTCATAGAGGGAGCCAAGGATAGGCAAAGCCAATTAATTCCATTTCTGTCCCCATCTGCCTCCCTGCTGAATTCTACAAGGGGAAACTATGAAGGAGGAGGAAGCTCACAGCCAGGGTCATCCTCTGTGCTGGTTGCAAGGAAGAAGGCAGGCAGGTGAGGGCTGGGCAAAGGTGGAGTGGAACAGAGTCTCGCCGCAATGTACCAGCCTCCACTGGATATAGTGGGACTTACTGGGAATTCTAGTCTTTGGGATGTGTTTGGGGGCAGAACATTCTCAAACCTACTGGAACTGTCTCGATCGACAGACCTGCAGCTGTTGTTTTAGTCATGTGAGACGAGGTCAAAAAACCCCGCTCTGTGTAGGAGATAAATATCCTTCTCTGAGCTGCTCTGTATTCTCACTCCCTTTCTTTTCTACAGCCTATTTGTGTTTCTGCTTATGGATGTGGTCTTTTCAGCTGTGTTTCAAGCTTTGCTGGGGACCCTGCAAGATTCCTGGACTTTGGAACCATTTTACGCTTTTCAAACCTCTGTAAACTTTTACTGATGAATTCTCTCGCCTGCATGTGTTTCTTCAGACTCAGCAACAGTTTGATAAGAGTATATATTTAAAGTAGATGAATAAATGAGCTAATTAATTTGGATATGCAGAAGATATTAAAAAATGATTTAAGGAACCACAGAAAGAGGGGGAAGGAAGTCAAGTTTTGAATGTTAAAATGATTGTAAAATTAGTGAAATGTATAAACCTGAAAAGCATACCGGTAAATAAAAATTTGAAAAAGACAGTTGGATGGTGCTGATCGGATAAGTTGCCTTCTCCCCTAGTTGCTCAAACTGCAGTTTTTCATTGCTCCTTGCAAACTCCCCCCCCCAAAAAAAATCTGGGTATAGAAACTGTATTTTCTATGATTTGCTAGCATAACACCCATTTTTCGGCCCCTCACTTTCTTATCATTTGGTGCGTTGCAGTGAGAATAAGTTGACCTTCAGAAAAATACAAGGGAACTTCAAAGGAACTCAAAGACAGTTGTAAATTAAGAATGGAAGGTCGCAGCTAGCTGATGTGAACAACAGGCCAAGTTAACATTGCGACTTTGCTTAAAGTTCCCCATTGCTGTGGCTTTGTTTAATGAAGCTAGGAATGTGTTTCTGTAATGTAACCAATGAAATGTACATATGCATTGACCGTGCTTCAAGTGGCTTATGCATATTCATAACATGAAAATTAAAAAATTGTCCAGTAGCACCTTAGGGACCAACTAAGTTTGTTCTAGGTATATAAGAACAAACCCTTATATATAAGGGTCTGGTGATCTTTGTTTCAGTGTATCTGAAGAAGTGTGCATGCACACGAAAGCTTATACCTTATAGAAGACATCTGAAGGCAGCCTTGTTTAGGGAAGTTTTTAATGTTTAATAGATTATTGTATTTTAATATTCGGTTGGAAGCTGCCCAGAGTGGCTGGGGAAACCCAGCCAGATGGGCGGGGTATAAATAATAAATTATTATTATTATTATTATTATTATTATTATTATTATTATTATACCACCTATAACAAACTTAGTTGGTCTCTAAGCTGCTACTGGACATCCCCCCCCCATTTATTTTGACTGCATCAGATCAACACAGCTACCTACCTGAATCTATATTCATAACATGTTGTGTTCATGTGAAACTTTGTAGAAAAACTATAAATATGAGCAGGGTGCACAGACTTTTGGTGTTTTAACACACCTGTGCCTTTACGCTTAAGCCTGAAAGTAAACTTCTTCTAACTGTCCACCCCTGGCTGTTATTTCATTGGCTTTAAGTCACCCCAGGAACATGGCATTTGACCCCATGACTGCGCCCTCTACGCCTCCTTCTGGCAACTCCGACAGCCCAGCTGGTGACAAATGTGTTGCTCTGCTTTCCTTTGGACCACATCAGCGAGGTTGAGAAGGGAGTATTGTTGTCTGGGCAGCCCAGGAGCTTCATACACATGGACCAGGCCTCTGCCCCTGAGAGGTCATTTCAGGGCTGCTAATGCAATGGTTTGGCTTCACCCCCAGAGGCACACTCCATTGCCGCAAGAGAGATGGATGTCAACAACAAAGGTAAGGTGTTGTTTTCAGCTAGCTCAGAGGACCTGATCCTCAGGTCTTTTGTGCTGGGTTCCAAATCTCCTTCCCTCCCCCCTTTTATTTTTTAATCATTATTTACAGGATAGCTGAGTGCACCATAGGAGACCCCAACCACTCACTATCCTACTTTGCTCAGAGGCAAACATATGACATTGGTCTGTTGCCTCAAGCCTTCTAACGACTGAGCAGCACCCTTGATACATTCCTGGATGGCACCCTTTCAAAAACCCCACCTCTAATCTATTGATTTTGAAAATATGAGCAGGAGGAAAGCAAAGTTTCCTGTCTCTTGCGCCTGTGTGGTGTGGCTTGTTCTCAGCTGAGGTCTGAAATCATGTGGTACATTTTGCACCCCACATTTAATTTGCATTTCTCCAGGTTCAGACTATTTTAGTCATTATTATCAGGAGCTCGGCCTACACTCGAGTAGGACCTGGTAGAGACACATGCCCAACTGGCATGTTCTCTCCCTCCTGGTCAATCGTTCGGGAGCTTCAAAAGCTTTCTTCAGCCCGAACATCACAGCGACAGCAGAGTCTTTGCAACTTGCGTGACACACCCCAGCAACTCAGCATTTTGACTAATCTACTTTTATTTACAACATGGCTCCCTCTCTCTCTAGCATCAGAGAGCAAAGAGAGAAAAAGAACAATAGTCCCACTTCACGGAACAAAGTAACACAAACATCCTGTCTCTGTCACTTCCCACTCTGTGGAGTTAAAACATATATCGTCATGTGATAGACAAAAATCCCATGACTGCAATCATGGAGCAGGAATTCTAACAATTATTAGGGTGTCCTGGGCTGCCTCGTTCTCTTTCTTTCCAGTGTTTGGGCATGAGGGGCACCGCCACAAGTGGGAGCTATCAGTGTGCTAGGAGGAACACTTTGCAGAACTTCAAAACGATAATTATGGGGGAAGACCCTAAGGACTAGAGCAGGAGACACAACCCCAAACAGCCCAATGAGGAATAAGCAGTCTCTGGACATGGAATACTGGGTGGGATGAATAGCCAGGTGAGAGGAATAATGGAACTGAGTATCCTGGAAAGGACATGGTTGACTAGAACCCTGACAAGAACATTTCACGCTGCTACATTTTGTTGCAGACTAAACTCATGCTCATGGGACGCGGGTGGTGCTGTGGGTTAAACCACAGAGCCTAGGACTTGCCGATCAGAAGGTCGGCGGTTCGAATCCCAGCGATGGGGTGAGCTCCCGTTGCTTGGTCCCTGCTCCTGTCAACCTAGCAGTTCGAAAGCACATCAAAGTGCAAGTAGATAAATAGGTACCGCTCCAGCATTTCTGTGCACTGCTCTGGTTCGCCAGAAGTGGCTTAGTCATGCTGGCCACATGACCCAGAAGCTGTATGCCGGCTCCCTCGGCCAATAAAGCGAGATGAGCGCTGCAACCTCAGAGTCGGCCACGACTGGACCTAATGGTCAGGGGTCCCTTTACCTTTACAAACTCATGCTCACCACTATTTGGCTTTTTAATCTCTTGTGGGAGTATACCGCTACTTTAGCAATATTTTTTGCCTCCATAGAATATGCTTCTATCCTCCACTCTCCAGTTTTTATGCACATTTTACATCTTTGTGAATGCATATTTTCCTCCCTCCGCCCAATGTGCATACATGGGCTTACGTGTCTGTAACATATTGGGGGGTGGGGGTGCAAAATGGATAAT